CAATACCAATGTTCATGGAGGGGTTGAGTTCGATTCCTTCCATTGTAAGGCACCTCCTGTTTCGTAGATGGTCTTCCGTAAGAGCAATCACCCCAGAAAGAGGGCGCCCTTTCCATGGAAATCCACTAGGTATGGGAACAAGTCTCAAGAAGGCAAAGTTTTTTGCTTGCGGGAAACATTCCCCGGCTGGCCAGCCAGAGAGGGTCCCTTGGTAGCTTTGGAGGATGGCACTTTGTTCCATGCCAAGTTGGGTCCTCGGGTTTCCCAAAAGGTTTTTGCAGAGAACAAATGGGAAACCACTAACCTCCCCCAGGCCACCATGGAAGCTCCGAAGGAAGACTTGGCTCCATTTACAGAGGCCTTCTGAAAACCTCCCGGCGTCGGCGTGAGTCTGAGTGTAGATGGACCAATTTACTTTATGGCAAGTAGATGGGGTGACCAAACCCAATGTGAAATAAGAGAACTGCGCCATCTACTTCCACAGAAGGCTGCGCCCAAGGTTTGGTCCAATCCACCAGGGTAAAACCCGAAAGGCTCATGGCCGTGAATTTTGTGCCTGTTTCAAGCCTCCAGGAGTCATCAGCCTATGCCAACTTGCGGCGGGAGGCGCCGAGTTTGGCACAGCCGATGGCCTTGGCAAATTTGTCGGCTGGAAAAATGCCCAAGCCCTGGCCAGGTGGCCCAGATACACCACAAACACTCTCCTTACAAAGATGGGCAATAGGTCTATAAATTGTACCTACATTTGGATTTTATCGAGGAAAGCCAAACAAGACCTTCGAGTTTCTTTGGTTAACTTTGGTTGCGAACCTAGAAAAGTTCAGACAAACAAAGAAGCACAGGGAATGCCCAACAGAGAAGGGTGGAAAACGACAAAACAGCTTGAGGATGCTTTTTGTCTTGAATCATTTTGTAGTTGTTTTCCGTTTTGGTTGGGGCTTCCCAGTGTTTGTTTGTTTTCCTGGTGTTTGTTTGGGTGCTTGAGCTTTGCAGCTCAAACAAACAACACAACTCGAGGCGTTTTCTATGTTTCAATCCTGGCCGGCGTGAATGGGTGAACACACCAACAAAACCTTGAGTTGATTGATTTTGCATGGAAAAGATCAATACGCAAAAACTTATTTGGGGGTTCCCACTCTGAGCTGATATGAACAAAACAATAACGGGCTCCAGTAGCGCATTTTTTTCGCTGGAAAGAACAACACAACTCGAGGTAAACCAAGAAGCCATGGAAAAGCAAAAGACAGGCTCCAAAACAAAATGTATCCTCGTTTTGTTGTTGTTTGGTTTTCCCGGTTGTTGTGTTTGTTTTTCAACATGTTCCGTGTGTTTTTGGCCGTCTGAGTTTTGTTTGTTTGGTTTCCCCTTCCTAGCTTGAAGCCCCTTACACTGCTCCCTGCAAAGTTCCTTTTCAAGCTCCCTTCAGCCTTTCGGGAGCCTTCTGCGGAGCTGTGCAAGGAGTCAAGACTTTAAGGCCAGGTTCTCAACTCTAGTTAAAATTGTAATCCTAATTCATTGTGTCCTTCTTAAATTATTGCAAGCACGATTCACTGGTGTTTTGGCTTTCTTACGTCAGCTCGGAATAAACCACAAAACGCTTGTCGAATGAATATGTGCTACGCATATGTACAATATACAGAAAACCTCAAAACGAAACAATAGAAGAAGCACCGACAAAGAAAGAACGAAAGAAAGAAAGACAGAAAGAAAAGAAACGCTGAGAAAACCAACAACAAACAAAGAAGGAGAATGGTTGGTTTGGCTCCTTCTTGTTTGGTTTGTTGGTTTTCCCATGTCTTGTTTCAATAAGTTTCCGTAGGTTTTGTGCCTTGTCATGTGCTTGTGCTGTTCTTCATACGGAGCCTCATAAGGATCCTTACAAGAGAAATTGCACACGGAGCCTCAAAAAAGCATCAACATAGAGCCTGGCTCCTGACAAGACTCCTTAACCAAACAATATTTCATCAACAATATGTAGAATTAGATTGAACATAAAACGACAGAAACCAATTAAAATCTCGATGTTGAGGGAGAAGTTCAAAAGGAATTCCTTTCCAAGTATGCTTTTGAATCAACATCAACTACCTCGCAAGTAAAAGGTAGAGGGGGAATACTTCATGAATATAAACAAGAAATCCTCTCCATAAATAGATCTTGATATATTTTGATAGGGGAATAATCCATTTGTATGTTCCAGTAGTTGTTGAACTTAAATGTGTTTGTGTCCTTCAAAGGAGTTTGACTTGAATGTTAATCTCTCTTGAAAACTCAGATACAAGTGGGATTTCCTTTTCAACTAGTTTTTTTGTCCCGCAGGATGCAACAACAAGTAGTTCGTGGGGGTGAACATATGCATACACATGTGCATATTCCACGTGTTTTGCTCTAGGCTCCGTGTGGGTTGGCGAATCCCCTCATTTGAACATTGGCTTCCGACTAAACAGTGGGAAGCCTTCGAAGCCTTCAGATGCCCACGATTTAGTGCAAGTTCATTTGATTGTCTCTTCGGGGCTGAGACCCTGGAGCTATAAACTGTTTTGGTTGAAGAAGATCCCATCCCGATAAGCCGCCAGCGGAGCAGCGAGCCAGGCCTTGTCCCTGAGGCTGGATAACGACGACTTGTCGGAGAAGGTCGCCGAGCTCGAGGTGAGAAGTTCGAGCGGTGGGAAGTAGGGTGTGTCTTTGAGGAATCGGACCCCAAAATGATGATTTTCTGCTGGTTTCCCCGCTTAAAAAGCCACGAAAATAGGCGGCTCTGAAAAGAAACGGACCCAAATGGGCTCTTAGGTTGCCAGCTTCGATCAGCGACACTGGACCACTCTACTTGCACTTCGTGGAGCTGGTTCGGCAGAACTTAGACAACCATTGTAAGGGTTGCATTTTTCTGTGGCTCTTCTGGTTGGTTGGTCCCCCTGAAAACTTGGGTTCTCACCCTGGTGTACAACATCTTGGCCCATTTTGGGCCTGCAACCTGCGAAGTAAAAGAAGTGGTTTCTTCCGATTCCACTTGCCTCAGAAGGTACAGTACATGAGTCAACTTCATGGTTACACCGTACATCTCAGCAAGTAATTTCAGTCACAAACCGGTCGCAAAGAAAACCCTTGCAAGGTACTGGGTGAGCTTCTTGCATACCGTTACCCACATGGCCTGAGCAACTGAGCAGGTTGCTTGCCACAGGCTGTTCATATTTTTTCCCCGAACCAACTGGGTCCTGAAAGCGAACATTTTGAGAGGTTCTCAAACTGGCTATTTTGGCGAGGATTTTCCTCTAAGCCACTAGTTAGCTGCCTTCATGCACCTTGCCAAAAAGCAAATATGGAACGGAACTTGAACATGCCAATGGTCGCTTGATCAAAAATGTCGCAGGCCGACCGCGCAAAGTACATCTCGCAGGAGGCTTCGGCATGAGGGAGTTTGGAGTTTGGCGCCGCAAATGGCCGCGGGGTTGCCTTGGGAGCATTTCTTGACTCAAAAGTTCGATGGGACTACCGGGTTTATAACCTCCTTTGCGCAATCCGATGGGGGTTACATGATGTTACATGGGCATTTGTCTCATCCCCTTGTTTTCTTTGATGTTTAAGGGGACGTTGATTGACCCTGTTCACTACCCTTTTGCCCTCCAACCCCAGGCACTCCACTCCCACCTCTTTGCTTTGGAGAAATGCCGAGACCCTGAGTTTCTTTGTAAGATCCCCGGCCGGAATGGGGGATCGGTCCACTAGAAAACCAACTCAACCGAACGAACCTAGGCCCCCGGCCCCCAGCCTGAGTCTTTGGGATCCTCATGCTCTGGGAAGAGCCCTTGAGTGATAAAACTGGATGCCTGCAAGCAGGCAGGTCCAGATCAATCAACCTCGCATATTAGTAGTTCCCTTCCCAAAAGTGAAGAATTGGGTCTGTGGAGGGTTTGTAGTATTTATCCTGGGTTCGTTTCAGGGTGACCATCTGGATTCAGGAATGGCGATCCAACAGCAAACGGTCAATCCCCACTAGCTCTGGGCTAGTTGAGACGTGCCTTTGGGCTTCCACTGCCACCTCTCCGGGCAAAATGTTAGCTGCCGAATCCAGCTGTGGATGCCAGACATGTTTGCGGTCTCCTATTTTTTGTTGCATAGGGGGCATCCACTGGTGGGGGCAGAGCATCCAAAGCCAAGAGCCGAGCACTAGGAGGAGCTCACCGCCAAGCTCAAAGAGGACGGGGGCTTCTTCGCCCATGAAGCAGCCGAAGACTCGGATGGGGATGAAAAATCGGGGGTGGTACTATGTTCGCGGGCGTAAGAATTGGAGCTGGGCTATGGAGTGCTTGCTTCAAAACACAATGAAGGCGTGATCATAAAGGAGTAACGTGTTCAATTGTATGGCCCCCTCACGAAGCGTGGGCATCATATGTGGTTTAGGCAGCCAAGCCGTCGACCGTAGGGCCCAACCCTGGCTGAACCGCATTAGATCCCGACCGGAGGAACTTCGGGTTCTCAATCCTGCCAGTTGAGGTTTTGTCAACACTGCCAGTACGGTTGGCTCATTTGGGAGGTCCACCCAGGCAGACCTTCGGTATAGCGCGAGAGAGAGAGAGAGAGAAAAAAAATGAGAGAGGGGGAGGACCTAGGGAAACTCACTAAATGTCCCACAAAAGCCCAGGAACTCGCGAAATTTCACCCCAAGGTTTCGCTGACTTCAGGTGTGAGCATCTCAGGTTGATACCTTCTAAGTTTGCTCCCCACCCCCCCCAGCCCCCCCCCAGCCCCCCCCCCCAAAAACAATATTTATATATATATATATATACACAGAAAACAAACATGTGAGTTACATTGAGTTGCCACTTGGCATGGCAAACTTGTGCCAAAGGTGCGGCAAAGGGAGCACGGGCAAGTCAGATTTTGAGCCAACCTGGGTGGATCCAAGCCGAAATCCCTTGCCTCGTGCCCGTTTACCAGGTTAGGCTACTGGGCGAAGTCCATTCGTTGTATGCGGCGTCCCTGAGTAATACGGAGAGTTTCCCAGTTGGAGTTCCCAGCAATGCGGATGGATTGTTATTTTTTTCATGCATGGTTCCAGGTTGGCTCCTTTCATACCAGGCTCTGATTTTGACACCCGTTCACCGGCTTGGGAGGGGGGGTTGGTGTGAGTGGGGCGAGTTTCCGCATTTCACCTGGCAGCACTCCGAGGATATCATGGACATGACTGGCAAGATCCGGCAGGTGGACTACAAAATTGCCGGGGCCTCCGTTTTGAGATGTTTTGATGGATCTGCGGCTACTTATCATCAGGTGCCCTGCCAACCCCAGGCGGCTGAATTAGGTTTTTCTTCCGCCTTGGTTGGCCTGAGCAAGGCTGATGAACTTCCTCACCCCCTGGGAAGGTGGGGCGGTGGCTGGGAAGGTGCTAGGACTTGGGGAGGCAGATTGGGCAAGCATGGTGCAGCCAAAGAACCGGGTCTTTCAGTGGAACAGGAGGTTCCTGAGTTCTGCCGATTAAAGCATGCCAATTTGGGTGGGTCTTAAAAGGGTGGACCCCCAAAATGGCGCTTTGCTTCCATGTGCTACAGCAGCCCTCGACCAGGGCAACACATGTGTGTTTGTGACAGTGTCAAATCTATATATACGTATATATACATATATATATATATATATATCACACTTTCAGTCGTTCTTTTCCCGCTTTGTTGGCTCGTCGTTCTTTTCTTTTTTTGCGTTTGAGGCTGGACTGCGGCACCGGCACTACCAGAACATCAAGGATGTGGGCTCGTTGAAGAGGACGGTCGGGGTTACACGAGTATTGAATGAGGTTCGATCGGGCTCGCGGTGCGCGGGTTGGTTGGAAAACCGGCGCGAGAGGGGCGTGCTTTTGTTTATACAAAGCATGTTCGGAAGGAAAGAATGTGTGTACTCACTTGCGTCCTACTAGGATGTTGGACAGGTTTCCTTGATCGCCAAGTCACAAGCGAAAATCAGCATTGTTTCCCTTAGGACATGGCCGAACAGTTGACCAAGTCTAAGGGTTGTTGTACTACACCCTGGGATTACACCCTTGGGAAATGGCCTAAGATGGTCCAAAATAACCTGGTTTTATCCCGGACATATGCCTGGGGTCATTTCTCAGCGGCCTTCGACCAAGAACACCGTGCTTCCTCGGATCTCGCCTGGACAAACCGGAGCCTGAGGACCATGTCCCTCATCGAGAAGCGAGGGCAGGCGGATACGCCAGCCGGAGCATGAGACTCTCACTTCCCAGGTTTCGCTTTCTGGACCCTTTTGGGAAGGCCATGTTCGTTGTAAATATGGTACTTTCATTTATTTAGTACAACCTGATGGTTTTAAAGGGAATCTATCACTACTGGAAAGATGTTATATTTTGTATTTTTTTGTTCCAGGGGACTCAAGCAAATGGAGGTAAAGGACGTATGAAAGCACACTGTTGCTTCCTTCCAAGCCGGTTGGTTCAGGGGGGCGGGCTCGACATTTTATTGCTGAGGAATAATCTGCACATATGTTTGGTGTGCCCCAGAGTTGGGCCAAGATTGGTCAAATCAGTCTTGCGACACGCCAGCCTCACCCCATGCCAATTTGGTTCTCGGGGAATTGCCGTAGTTTGGGAAGCACGTTGCGTTTCGGTGTTCTCAAAGCTGAGAGGCCTAACAAGGACCAAAGCTTGAAGACGGGCCACCACTCGTTGATCCATATCTTCAGGAGGGAGACTAGGAGCCCTCTAGCCCCCAGACATATTCTCAATTCTCAGAACTCAAGAACGTTTTTTTAAAACTTCTAGGAGCCTTTGCTTTGGTGCGGTGGGCGCCTTGCTTTTTCCCGTGCAGAGCATATTCCAGCGCTTGCGCCGCTCGAATTGGGATCAACGCGCAGGCCGGCACGCCGATGTCGAGTCAAGGCATGTGAGATTTCGACTTCCCATTAGCCAAGTTCCGGTGGATCTGAAGCAAAGTCGCATCAGCGCGCGAGCCTTCGAGTTGCCACGTAGCGGCTTCGCGCCGCGATGAGGACTGCCAAGGGTCCAGGTGTTGTTTTGCTTTTTCTGTCTTGAAGCGGGAGCCTTCTGTGACACACTCGGGGAGTTGGACTGCAACGTTGTTGGGAGGGGCGTGTCAGATCATTTCATGATTTCATCAGCAAACAGCAAGTCGAGACTTTTGTTTGTTTGTTTGTTTTTTGCAAGCACAAGAACTTTTGCAAATTTCGCAGCCACTCTCTTTTCCCCGCATGTCCTCAAAATAAAGTTGGACACATAGTCAATTCCGCGGCAAATCACGCCCGGTTCCCTTTGGTAAGTGACTCCGGTGTTCGGTAGCTACGCCTAATGCATCGAACGGTGCCCTTTGATTGGGCATAGGTTATATGTAATCGTACATCCCTTTTGGAAAAAGAAACGCCCGCCAGAACCTTCCCGGGAGTTCTGATGGCTGGGCACTGCTTTTTGGGAAGAACAGGTGACCCCAGCCCTAAAAGCAGCCAAGACTGGCCTCATTTGGTCATGAAAGCCAGCCCCAAAAGCCAGAATCAAGCCAAGACCCATCAAAGTGAGCCCCCCCACCCACCCCCACCCACCAACCCCACCCCACCCCACACTCCCACCCCACCCACCAAGTGCGTGACAGTCGCCGCCACCCCCCGCCGCCCTCCTTCGGCGAGGAAGCGCCATGACGGACCGGAGCTGGGCTCGCTGCTCAAGAGCCCTGGCCTGGTGGGTTTGGGGAGGGGGGGGGGGGTAAAACAGCAGCACCAAGCCACTTCTCGGGGCCTCAAAGTGGTTCTCGTTTTCTTGATTTTTTTTTGGCTGGCCATTTTGGCCCCGCTTTTGCCTCTTGTTGGCCTTTTTTGTGCCGACTGTCCGATGAATATCCTCGCACAACCGTCGGCGAAGGGCCGCTTTTGGAGAGTCTGCCCTCTCAGAAAATGAGCGTGGGTGCCGCTCAAAATGGGAGAAAAAGCAGGGGGGGTTCTCTGGGTTTGCCTTTAACACCATCTAAGGGGCCCCTTTTGTGAGACCGACCCACATGACAATTCCCGGACTCCGATAAATTTGTTGCAAATATATACCCTAGCATTGCCTGATCAGGGCGAATGTGGGCACACCAACCAAATCACAAATTGATTGCTCGGCTGCCCAGCCGGTTTCCCATAGAAATCCACGGGGTGGAGATAGTAAGATGGCCAGATGGGGTTGTCTCAAAATAGGACTACCCCAAAAAGGGTCGTCTTCCTGCGAATTTATTTTATGTCAGCCCCCCCAAAAATCAGGTACCCTAGTATTGGTGGTTCGGATGATTCGGATCTGAACCCCTGGTTCTGGCAGATGGGAAACCTCCCCTGAATCACCAAACCACCGGCTCCAAACCACCAAACAACGAGGGAAGCTGACCACAAGTATGTTTTCCAGAATGGACATGCAGCTTCACTCGGATTTGATTTTGTTGCTTGGGTCAAGGAAGGGTGCCCTTTTTCGGTCTTGACTCCCACTCGGTAGTTCAGGATTTGAACTTCTGGTTCTTGTGGGTAGATGGGAACGCCCCCCTTGACCACCCCACCAATCCAAACCACCACGTAGATGTTAGGACTAACTTTTTGCCAACTAATCGGTTTTCCACCAAACCACCAAAAGCTATCAGCTTTTCGCAGAGCACAAAGCAACCGAGTAGAGGGGAGCTGAAAAAAGGGCTACCCACAAAAGGCGCACCCAGCGGTCTGGGACTCCTTTCGCGAGTCCGGCGCCCAGGAACCTGGTGCTCAAGCCAAAGCCCAGCGATGCCTCCGACCCCGAGGTCCCCGTGACACCACACGTTGCTACTCGCAGTGGCATCCCGTTTTCCCCTGACTTCCAGTTGCTGAGAAGAAGATGTGGTTTGTTGTTTGTTTATTTGTTATGTGTTTTTCCCCTCTTAGCTTCTAAAGGGGATCTATATCACTACTGGAGTTCATTTTTCCAGACTTCAGCAAATGGAAGCCTGACTTCAGGCTTTGTGGCGCTCGTCTTTGGAGGCACCAACTTGTTCTACTGCGTGAACACATGATTGAAATCAAGGCTTTTGGGTCACCCTTGGCACTTGGAGTTTTGCCCCTTTTGGGTTTCCTTCGTTTTACCTTTGCTAGCAAACAGCAACCGCTTTGTCTCATTCCCCCGAGTTCCTGGACTCTAGTCACTTTTTAGGTTTGGATCATTTTAGCGGTAAACAAACAGTTTGACTTTTTTGGGGGCCATCCACTCGATCGGATGTGAGTTTTCACCCCCTCAGCTTTTTAGGTTTTTAGTTGGAATAGTGGCATGATTTCCATTTCACCCACAAACAGTTGTTCCCTTTAGCAGGGGATCTGATCAGATTGCCCTTAGTTGGTGGGGATTTGACCCCCTTGCTTCTTCTAGAGAAAGATGGGGCACAACCCCGGAACACCACCAAGCCATCAATGAGAGGGAAGCTGATTTGGCTGTGGGTCAAAACCAATGGTGCCATGTTGGGGTAGGTGAATTCACCACCCATTTTAGAACCTATTTTAGTGGGGATTGGGAGGTTCACTTCAATTGCGATTTGGATTTTGACCCATAGCCATTTGGCTGCGGGTCAAAAAAATATGTACCCAAAAATTGCTTGCCCTGGTAAATGGAATGGAGTAAAACCTGCGGTCCAATTCCTGGTGGTTTAATTTTGACCCATACCCACAATGGAAATTTGGGGGTTTTGCCAGGGCACCCATTTCAAGTGCTTTCAAGGGAAACAAGGGTAGCAAAACGGCTCAAAATTACACCACCAGGGGATACGCAGGTTTTGGTCCATGTGTCCACTTATCAGGGCAAGCCATTTTGGACTTCCGGTTTTTTGACCCACGGCTGATCTGAGGGGCCCAACTGGGCGCCCAGGTTGCCGCAGCTCGGGGCACCTCCGTGGTGATGACGCCGGCGCGCTGCGATCGAACTGTGAGGCGCGGATGGGCGGATGCGCTTCCGGCCGAGGTCGGGTGGAGGTTTGGAAATGGCCGAGACTCAGAACATTTTTGTTCCGCCCAATTGGTTGGTGGAATTAAAGGGAAACAACATGGTTGGCCAACCCTTTTTAAGGGTGATTTTTTTGTGGTTTTGAAGGGAAACCAAAACCAAGGTACCCTACTTTTTTGGTGGGTTTAATTTAAAGGGAAGCCACATGGAAACCAACTGGTAACCAACCATTTGTTGGGGCACCCTCAAAAACACATCCAATTAGAAAACATGCATAAATATATTTGGCCTGATGTTTTGTAGAACTCTCGGAGGCTTTTGTTTGTGATTTCTTTTGGGACGCCGTATGGGCAGATATGACCATCTGACAAACAGGTCCCCATTTCTTCCCATGGGGATCCAGTGGAGGTTCCAAGAGACAGATTTGGCACGAGACTCTCTGATGTTCTTTCAAAAGCTGCATCCCAACTAACGGCCACGGAACCTGCTCGTCAGATTCCAAGAGGCAAGTGCCCGTTTGCAGCAACCCCAGCTTGCCAACCGCAAACGATGTCCAAGTTTTCTTGAAGGATTTCGCAGGGGAGAGGCTGACTGTTGTTATCCGATCCTCAATGGTGGGGTTCATGGTTCCAACAAAAGGAAACTCGGCGTGGCCCAAAGGTGACGCTGCAAGCCACCAAAACTTGGGGTGTAGCGACCTAGGTAAGTCAAGACGCCCTCTGCCATAGGACACGCGAGGCGGACCTGGTGCCGCCCGAAGAGGCTCCGATGCTTGGGGAGGTGAAGGAGGACCGGCTGACAGCTGAGAAAAGTTCCGGGATCGAAAAGTTGATTGGCATCCTTTGGTTTCCCTCGTGGAAACTGCTCACTTAGGACATAGGTTTGCCGCAACCGTTTTTGGTCAGGGACCCTGTCGATCATTTGGCCTTCGTGCATCTATTTGGCCGATTGTTTTGCCCGAAGCCCCCCAACCAAGAGCATGTCTTTGGTCCTCAGTGAAGCTTAAGCCTGTAGTTCAAGTGCAACAGCTATCCCAGTTCGAATCAGTTTCTAGTTGCAGCCTTTGGAAGACTCTTAGGAAGCCACGAGGTTCGGGACGCTTTTTATAGCTTCCCGAAAGGACGCCAAGTGGGATTTGTGTTTTGCCGTTCTTCGAGACATGCCTCCTGCACGCGCAGGAGGCATGTGCCGAGCCTGCGATGGAGGAGGCTGGGCGAGAGGAACTGTCCATGGGCCATGAGGCGTCCTGCACTTAGGAGTTCAAGCAGATGACAATCTATACCCACGAAAAAGTAATAACCTGCCCCAACCAGACACATTCTTCTCAAGTGGGGCTACCAGCCTCTAATTTTTGGGCATATGAGGAGCATATGAGACTAGATTGAGCGTGCTTGATATGCCAGGCAACTTGGTTGACCCTTGGGATGGGCGACGCTGATGTCCCAGAAGCGGTTTCCTCTCGGAAAGGTTGCTTTTGTTGTTCCATGTAAATTGTGCAGGGGGAGGGGCGTCTGGCTGCGAGCGTAGTATGACCACGTTCGCCACTGACTTGCTGAGGCTTGCCCTCCCAGACGGAAAGGTTTTTGGGCATCGTTGAACATGCAAGATGTGGGATGCCAATTGGCAAGTGTTCTTTTGTTTTTCTAGCCTCATGCGCGAGAGGAGAACATTTGGGCTGGCTGATGTGCTGGATGTTTTTGTGTTCGCCAGGCGCAGTTTTTCTGGGCTTCTGGCTTTTCGAGCAGCTGCGGGCTGGCTAACTATGACCAGAGAATGGCAAAGTGAAGTTGTGGCTGTAGGGCCTTAGGCCATCCTATCAGACCACTGGTCTCCCCGCTTTAAAACACGCCTGGCACGAAGTAGCCTCACATGGTTTCAGACTTAGGGTCATCGCCCAGGGGAATTCTATCCAACGCGTTGTGTACCCTGTGCTGATGTATGGTGAGCGGCACATGTATGAGGCCTTCTGGCTTCCTTTTCTGGGGTCAGCCCTAAGAAGCACGCAGGTCACCCTTCGATTTCGAACGGCGCAAGAAGGCCTCTTACTTGGGCAGTCCTTTATCGAACCGGTCGTAAGTGGTGCAATGTTGTTTCTTTTCGAACCCTGAGCAAGCCATCAACATTTCTTTTAAAGGCCGTTGTGTAGGAGAAACCTTGCTTCAGGTTGGCGGATGACTGCCGAGGAAAAATGTGCTTGATGCCGACCCCGATCCTTTTCTGAGGGTCCTGATTTCGAGGCTCGTGGCGCATGTCCTTGAGGCAGTTCGCTTCCCGTGCCTGAAAGCTCTAAGACCCCCATGAAACCAGGGGCTGTGTAAGCCTCATGTGATAGCCTCCCCCCCCACCCTTCTCCTTGGAGGTCCATCACCCCTTGCCCAAGAAGTGGACACATGGAACATAATGTCTACGTTGTGTGTTTATTGGTTTGGTAGTGATAATGCACCTGGGGGGGATGCAGGAAATCTAGGGATGGGGAGCCAAGTAGTTGCTAATCGTATCTAATCATACTTCCCTGTACCCTCATCACTAGGTTAAAGCAATTGTTCTTACGGTGCTTTCTTGGACAGAAACTTCCATTTGCTTAAGAATATGTTTTTAAACACCCTATTGGTTTTAAAGGGAATCTATCACTACTGGACATGTTTTCTCATTTTTTCCAGGGGTCTTAACCAAATGGAAGGAAAGCTGACCGGCCTTGGTCAGGAGCCGGAGGAGATGATGCAGATGCCTCCACCCCTCATAGAGCGGTCCAGGTCCCCCCCTCGCGACCGGGGCCTGGGGCGACGCCTGCATGGCTCGGTGGTGCAGCACATCAACAAGAACGCCCCAGTGAAGTTCGATGCAGCTCGCCATCGCTCGCACCGTTGAGCCATGTTGAGCCAGGGGGGGGAAAATCCGATGAAAACGAGCTGCTGGTTCAGCCCGAGATTTGTGTTTGTTTGGAGTTTTTTGGGGTTTGGGGGTGGTGGTGGTAGTGGCATACATGGTCTTATGTTGTTGTTTTGTTTTTCTTTTTCGGAGTTGCTTCTTTGGTTTGCGGCTCTTGTGTGGCTAGCAACTTGAATGGGCTGGGATGAAGCCTTGTGCAAGGATTGGGCAATGCAATGATTGTATCAACTCCCACCGTTATTGATGAGGGATGGAAGGATTTCGTGCTATAAAGGGCCCCTCAATGCAAAGTGGGGGTCAGTCTAAAAACTCAGGGGTCAGCACTAGGCAAGCGAGATTGTGCCATCGTTCAACCGAGTGTAAAGCCGTTTTGCATTTGAACAAAGCACTTGAAAAGGGTGTCCTCGAAGAACCCCTGCCAAATTTCCAATGCGCGTATGGGTCAAAATGAAACCAGCAGGGTACCGCAGGTTTTAGTCCCAGGTTCCATCTACCAGGGTTCCATTTTTTTTTATTTTATTTTTTTTACCTATTTGGAGCCAATTTGAAGCCAACTACTCCTTTAAAGCCAAGCCCCGGTGAGCGCCCGGTGAAGCCCAGCTCAAACCGAGGCCTGGACGAGCCGTGCGCCGGCCAACAAGACGGTGCCCGGGCTGATGGTGGCCCCGGCCGAAGTTTGGGAGCGCAGCTCGGTGCTGAAGAGGCCGCGGTCTGCCGCCGGTTCCGGGAGTAGAAAACGCGGCGAAGGCCGTGATAAAAGGTCCTGGAGAGCCGTAGCCGTATGGCCATTTTTTGGCCGTATGGGCAGAAAAGAAGCGTCACATGGGGGTTTCCAGGGTTCTTTACCTGGGGGTCCAATCTTCAATTGCGCGGTTGGATTTCTCAGCATTTGTTTTGCAGATTTCACTTGTTCTCCTGCTTGTGGGCAACCAAAAGTGCTTTTGGTGGTTGGTGCTCATTACTGGGTGATCCCATTGGATGTTCCTCATTGCAGGCTTGTAAAGCAAAGCACAAGCTTATTTGTAGAGACTGGTCAAAGAAGGCAAGACATATTTGTAGATGACACTCCTTTTTAGAACAAGGACACTCCCTGGGTTTCAGTTCAAGCCCTGAGCCCGGGTCAACGTCCGGCCAAGTTTTTTGGGGTCCACCAATCCCACCACGTTGATCAGCTAAGGGGAATTCCTAGCCTGGAGAGCCAACAGAAAGAAGCGGGTTTTGGGCGCAATGGCTCTGCGAATTTCCTGGCGAGCTTTTTATTGAGGTACAACGAAGATCTTTGACCTGCCCTTTTGTGGGTGGGAAACTCATCGTGTACCCATCCCGCCCCAGGTCCGCTGAGTGAGTTTCACCTCTTTTCCCTCGCTTTGCAGGTTCCCAGCTGAAAGCGAAATCCACCCAAAGACACGGTCCCAGTTCTTTTACACCGAACGGTTGCTGGTTGCAACTGGTAGTTTCTGGCAATCCACGAAGAACCCAAGCTTCGCATGAGGTTTCCTTACTTGGAATGCGCTTGAGGGACCACGTCCGACCCAAGACTTGTTTAGGACAGCCAATTTAGTTGCAAGCCCAAAGGTGTTGTTTCGGCCAATCCTCTCAGAAAGTGAGCATAAGCTCATAGCACTGGATAAAGTGTAACTCGGAACTTGGAACCAGAGGTTCCCTTGACCAACAAAAAACCACCCGCCCAGAGTCAGATTCCATGGGGGTGAGCTTTGGTGACCTGAAAACATGAATGCCAGATGACACCAAATGGCGAAAAAAAGACCAGAGGGTTGACAGGTGTCGTCAACTCTTGGAGGAACATGTTCTTCCGAAGCCGCTTCAGTGATTGGGATCGATCTCGGGCAAGCGCCCTGGGGTCCCCAAAGGCTATGCGCAGCTGAACATGTACTTCCGCCAATTTATGGCCTGCTCACCGTGAGGTGATTTCTTTACTTGGATCCAAGTATAATATCAGGTTTTGGACGTCTTGTCTAAAAATTAGGTACCTCCGACAAAGGATCATTTTTGTGGGGTGGCTGAGTATGGGTTTGTGTGTTTTTGGAGGGTACCATTTTCAGGATGGTTTAACGGGACACCAAAAGGAGAACCGACATTTTTCGGCTACACCTAGTTTGACACAGACCCGGGTGCACCTCAGATTTGGTTCGGCCAAGGTGCGGTGGACGAGAAGCGGAACGCGGTGTACTTCTGGGAGCATGTGACCCAAAAGGCGTCTTGGGACCCGCCCGCAAACCACCTGGGGTGGTGGGAGCGCGTCCAGGACCGAGCTCTGCAGTCTCGATGGCACCACTGGTTTCCCCCAAGTGAGAAAGGCAACTCTAGCAGGGTTGGATATATATATATATATATGTTGTTTTAACATGTTTTAACCAGACCCAAATGACCTAAATCCCCCCCCCTTGCAATGCTGAAGCAAGGGGACGGCCCAACCCTAATTAGCGGGATGCCTCGTCATGGGGCTCGGCTTCTCCTTCTTTCCGTTGGGCACGTTCAGGGAATGTGTTTAGAAACGCTATTAATGTACACGACCATGGAAAACAGAACGCAAGCTGGATTGTTCAATCTTCGGGGCAAGTACCTGTAGCGTGTGAGCCACAATTCAATAGCCCAGCTGAGTGAAGGTTTGTAGGGGACAGTCCCTTAAAGACGTATGGACCTTGCTTATCAAAAAGCGTTTCCTGGCAAATAATAGCCCTCCCTCCGTGGAGGTCCAAGACTTTGCCTTTGACTGGGGACGATGGTGGTAGCCGCGAAGGGATCGGGCTCCCTGAAAGTGACGAAGTCGCGATAGGAATAGGCAATCCCACATTAGGGCGGAGTTGGGATTTGCTGAAGAAGACTCAAGACTGGTGCCAATTCTTTTTCTGTACTGCCGTGGCCGGACTTTCCTTCGTCATCCAAATTGTTCGCCTTCGGGTGAGTGTGTTTGAAATGCGCATATCTTCAGCAATTCTTCAGCAATCGCCAACTTGAGGTTGTGCGCAAACAATTATCAACGATTGTAATTATTCCTGTGCGTGAGTTTTGGTTCTTTACCAGGGTCGTTGGCACAACCATTTGGAGGCACAGATGCATGTACAAATTAATATGCATATGCATAATACACATATACACATACAACACGTGTGTATACATATGTGTATATATACATTTACATGCACAAGCAAACATTTGTATACCTATGCATGCACATACATACATACATACAGACAGACAGACAGACAGACAGACAGACAGACAGACAGACAGACAGACAGACAGACAGACAGACAGACAGACAGACAGACAGACAGACAGACAGACAGACAGACAGACAGACAGACAGACAGACACAGACAGACAGACAGACAGACAGACACAGACAGACAGACAGACAGACAGACAGACAGACAGACAGACAGACAGACAGACAGACAGACAGACAGACAGACAGACAGACAGACAGACAGACAGACAGACAGAGACAGACAGACAGACAGACAGACAGACAGACAGACAGACAGACAGAGACAGACAGACAGACAGAGACAGACAGAGACAGACAGAGACAGACAGAGACAGACAGAGACAGACAGAGACAGACAGAGACAGACAGAGACAGACAGAGACAGACAGAGACAGACAGAGACAGACAGAGACAGACAGAGACAGACAGAGACAGACAGAGACAGACAGAGACAGACAGAGACAGACAGAGACAGACAGAGACAGACAGAGACAGACAGAGACAGACAGAGACAGACAGAGACAGACAGAGACAGACAGAGACAGACAGAGACAGACAGAGACAGACAGAGACAGACAGAGACAGACAGAGACAGACAGAGACAGACAGAGACAGACAGAGACAGACAGAGACAGACAGAGACAGACAGAGACAGACAGAGACAGACAGAGACAGACAGAGACAGACAGAGACAGACAGAGACAGACAGAGACAGACAGAGACAGACAGAGACAGACAGAGACAGACAGAGACAGACAGAGGCAGGCAGAGGCAGGCAGAGAGAGACAGAGACAGACAGAGACAGACAGAGACAGACAGAGACAGACAGAGACAGACAGAGACAGACAGAGACAGACAGAGACAGACAGAGGCAGGCAGAGGCAGGCAGAGGCAGGCAGAGACAGACAGACAGAGACAGACAGAGACAGACAGAGACAGACAGACAGAGACAGACAGAGACAGACAGAGACAGACAGAGACAGACAGAGGCAGACAGAGACAGAGAGAGACAGAGAGAGACAGACAGAGACAGACAGAGACAGAGAGAGACAGACAGAGACAGACAGAGACAGACAGAGACAGAGACCGAGACCGAGACAGAGACAGAGACAGAGACAGAGAGAGAGAGACAGACACAGACACAGACACAGACACAGACACAGACATACACACACACACCCATACATGCTGTATGTGCATACATACATACGCAGAAAGTTGTTTTTGCACACCGCATGGCGAGGATCAGACGAATCGCCTGGAGTTCTTCTGGAACTCTGCCACCCAAATCACGGTTTGGCACCTGCCGCTCAACGACACCCTTCCGAGTGCCGGCGGGCAACTAGCTCTGCCTGCGCTTCCCTGGGCCGACCCAAAGGAGGAAACGGAGGTCGTTTGAGAAGAAGCCAAACGGATGACAAGCAGTTTTGGACTTGTTTTGTTGTTTTGGCACTTTGTTATACCATGTTGGATTTGTTTTAGATTTGTTTTGTTGCCTTGGCACTTTCTTACCACGTGTTGGGGGTCTCCCCTTTTTTGAAGAAGGGCTCTTTTGGATTGATTTCTTGCACTCATTTTAGGATGGATCCACATCCTGGCATCCCCTCACTGGACGAGCTGATGGGCTTGATACGACTGGCCGTTTCTCACAGGTCTTCACGGGCTCATGCGGGACGGGGCGTTACCCGAGCGAGCCTTATGTAGGGCGGCCTCAGCAGTATCCGTGTTTTCTGAGCATCTTTCCTTGTGGGGGCGGGGGATGAATGGTTTTCAGTGTGGTGCCGGTTCCAGACGATGCCGCCTGCCTGGGTGTCAAATACCCTAGCTCTTAGTGGCAGTGAGCCCGGCCAAAAGACAGTACACACTCAGTTCTGTTCTGTGTCTATGTATCTTGACTGCTGTTGGGTTGGATCATTAGACTTTAACCTTTTGGGAAATAAAGGTGTTTTCCACGAAACCCCCAAAAAGTTAGACTTTTTGCAGGGGGTCAACAGCAATCAAGGTATGGTGTACGTAAGGTCATGAGGCTTAAGGGTCCATTGGCAGGGCGCAATTCCCAGGCGGACGGCGAACCCACGAGCTTTGTTATGCTTAGCTGGCGCGGTGGATGCTGCGTCAAGCCTTAGATAGTTGCTTCCGATTGTTCCAGCTGTGCTCTCGCAGGTGCCGCGGCTTTCCAGTATTTCAAAGACTGTCCCGGCAAAGTGCTGGCCATTGACAGCACCGGCACTGGTTTACGCTTGGTTTTGCAAGCAATCCTTAGTCCTTATGCGTTTCCCTTGGTGTAGTGGTTTCCCACTACGCATTGCCGATGAGGGTTCTGGATCCTTCATTTTGAACAACACAGAGGCGCCAAAGTCAATCAAGAAGCGAGCGCAGCTGGAATTGGGGAAGACATAGCCTGCATGGAGGAAAAGGCCCGTTTTCGCACATTTTTACAATTGACGCAAGATGCAGCAGATGGGGAAATACCGATGAATACAACCAGGTTGACCTTGCCAGTTGCTTGCGTCCCACTGACAAGTGCCAGAGGGCCTTGGTTTGCCGGTCGACAGGTCACCACTTTGGTGGACAAGAGCGAAGAGGCCCTGGACAAGGACAAGAGCGAGGCAGGGCACGCCTTTTGTGCCGAACCAACACCGGCAGGGGTCCGACCAAAACTTCCATGTAGTGTTTTTGGTGTTATCACAATTTGTATTCTATGTGTGTTTCCTTGTTGGCAGGTGTGGGTTAGGTCCGTCCCCTTTGCATAACGATCAGCGCGGAGTCAACATCTTGAGGCACATTCATGTGCTTCCCCTTGGAAGGATCAACCAGTTCAGTTTCATGGCCGTTGGAAGAACTGTGGAACAAAGCAACCAACAAACCTGTCAAGAAAGGGTATGACCCTACTAAGGCATGTTGAGAGATGGGATTGGGAGGTGTGGAGCGTTTTTCAGAATCCAACTTGTGCTCCTATTGTTTGGGCGGGGGGTATCTTCTAGTGTTTTTCAGCCGCAGAGGGTCCCCTCATTTTCCTAAATAAGCCCAAGTGATACCCCCTCCGGAACCTTGCTGAAAGCTGGCCCAACCCACCCCCTTACAAGCCTATATTTGGCCCATCGACCCCATAGATTCTTGCTGGTGCTCAGTAGAAAATGACCTTCCGGGTTTTGGGAATCAACCGTTGGGGGATTCCCTAGGAATCCAAATCGCAGCTGGCTTTTCTCGGGGTCATTCCAACTCATGCTTGTGCTCAGTGGGGAATGTGGATGATTTTTGTCGGGGTCATCCGATTTCTCATTCCCTGCATCTCCCTCACCAATCGCAAGCCCTTCCGGTCCAATCGGGTGGGACAACTCGAGGTGTATCCGACCACTTCTGTGCTACTCTTGAGGAATCTCCCCCTTTATGGGGGCTTGAACGTCCTTGGGAAGCCCAAGTTCTGTTCCCAGTGATCATCTCCCGAGCGGAACGAAGCAACCCAGCGGATTGAGTTCGAGAGGAGGTGCCGGGCTTGGAGCTGCAGCTGCGGGAGGTGGTGGAGCGCCTTCGCAAGGAGCAGCTCGGCCCTGCGCATTCTCTGAGCGTCAACGGTGGGTGTCTCACTCAACGGAAGGAATCCGCCTGGTGTTTGGGCTTGGTCCGTTTTTTTTGTGGGGGGGATGTTTTACCATCGTTTTGGGGGTTGGACCATTTTAGGGGTAGACATTTGACATCTGTTCTTTTCGGGGTTTGGTCCATTCTAAGGGTAAACAAACAAACATGGACGTGTTGGGTTTCGCGCATGGCTAGAAACCGAATTAGACCTACAAGGGGTCTAGTGACCTTTTGCTGAGGGGGCAACCCTGGCAAGGGGCTTAAGAGGCCTATGATAGTCCAATTTGGCTATGATTTACGAAAAAGCTCTTGGCAGTGATATAGGCGGCTGCTAAGCCCGTAAATGGCGATTACTGGGCTTAGAGCCTGCCTTATACGCAACCCTTTCGGCGGCCAAGCGTGGAGTGTTTCTCCATGGCCGCGGCTGAAAGACATCAGAAAGAGGACTCAGCCAAGGTAAAAAGCTGTTCAGATTTAGAGGGATGGACTTCCCTTTGAAATCAACCAGCGAATGGTGTTTGCCCTGAGAAGTCCACTTGTTTGGGAAAAGGTAGGCCTTGTTTCCTTTGCCACGTTGGTGTTTTGAGTCACTTGCAAGAACTCCTTTTGGGGGACTTGCGGTTCCCGCACCAAGATTTTGTTTAGACCTAGCAGGTTTGTTGTTCAAAAATACTGGGCGATTGCAAGGAAGCTGGCCAAATCCAACCGAACATTGGGGTTTGAGCTGGATCTCTGCAGGTTTCCTGTGAGGGGAATGCGCACATGCTAAAATGTTCAACGTCAAAATGTCAGGCATGGTCGCGGGCCAATCAGTTGCAGGCTTCTCATATGGATGCTTCTTGGAATTGGGGCCCTATAAACAACCACAGGCAGGGTGGGGAAACCGTGTAACTTGTTTACCATGATGTGCGGCTGGTTTACTTGCAGGATTCAAGAAATCAACCGTACCTAGCAATTCCCTAAAACTGCCGTAGACAGGTACCTTCGACAAAATGCGGCACCCACAAAACTACCCTACCTTCCCCCCCCCAAAAAAAAAACGAAGACCGACCTTGTCTTGTCCTCTTTCACCCCCCTCCCCCCCCCGCCCCCTCCCCCACCCCCCCCCCCGCTCCCCCCTTGCCTCCCGGCGGGCGCAATCCGAACCTGACGACTGATCCGATGGGTTTGGCCGAGGTCGGAGAAGATTTGGCCAAAGATCAGCGCCTACGAGGCGAGCATCGCCGAGCTGAGCAACACCATGCGCCCAGCTTGAGAGAGAGAGGGAGGGAGTTTGTGCGAGTGGGACGGGGCGTTTGGGCCAGTGAAGAAAAATCATTTGGCTAGTACCAGCTGATTTAGAGGAGCCTCTTGGAAAGCAGGTGGTTTTTGGATGAAGGAATCGATTTTCAACCTTTTGGATCTTTTGAAGCAGGTTTTTGTTTTCCCATGCACTAAGTAGCAGCGTTTCGCTATTTTTCGAGGGGGGCAAAGCCCAAAGCCCAAAACTCAATGCCCAAGACCACCCGCCAAAGCCCAAAACTGCTCGCCCGCCGGGTGCTTCGTTGTGCGCCCCACGCCTAAGGTGCGCCACCCAGAAGAAGCTGCACGCGGTGCGGCACACGCCCACGCGGGAGGCCGACGACCTGCGGACGCTGCTCAAGGCGCAGATCAACGAGGCAGGCGCTGACAGCTCTCAGGGCATGAGGGAAGAAACCTGCTGGATGGACGAACTCCGTCCGCACCACTTTGAAACCATGGTTGAAACGATTTGTTTCTTGGGATTTGCAGCGGAATTGTCATTCCAGGGTTTCTTAGGCCTTAGGTGGTGCAGGTGTTTTTTCCATCCCTTCCCCCCCCCAAAAAAAAACAAAAAAAAAACAACTGTTGGTTCCCCAGTGAGAAGCATGAAGTGTGTTTCTCAAAGCTGGAGATCACTTCAGGCGGTTTCCTTTTGGATTCCCTTCTTCCAGGTTTGGGTTGCCCCATATCCTACTGGCTTCGCCACAAATTTGTTTAGGGCTTGTTTTGGAAACGCCACCCCGTCTTTAGAGGAAATACCTACCTTGTTGAGTCAGGGGTCAACATGATACCATAGAACAAGGTGGGTATTTGGACTCGGGGCTCAGGCGCCTGCGGTCTAGTTTTGTGCACCGCTTCGGAGGTGAAAGGAGAGGCAACATCCATGAAGGTCCCGCGGGGGTCCAATTGTTACTTCAGGTTTTGGAATTCTCGCGCAATTTTGTAGAAATCTGCGGAAGTATCTGAATAATTCGAAGGGAGAGATCATATGTTGAAATGGCCAAACATCTTCGAGCCGCATTTGCCCTCTTTGGGCTTCCTTCACGTGTGCCTTTCAACCGACAAGGGTAATCTTTTGCAGGGGTTTAATTCTATCCGTGCAACCGCATCGAGTGTCCATTTGTCACTGTCCATTTGCCAGTGTCCATTCTCGACTGAATCCCACCGGGAAATTCAAAACATAATCTTGCTTGCCTGCTTCCGTTGGGGTACAAAGGGTGTCGCAAACCCATCAATTTGTTGATTCGCTTTGGGCAGCTGGGCTTCCCATTTTCCCGTGGGAGTGAACATTGCCCTCCCTCCTATCAGCATTGCACTTGGGGTTCCCATCTTTCAGATAGTGCAGAAGTGGCATGTATTTGTGTTGGGTGATCGGTTCAGTGACACCCTCGGAAAAGGCAACAGAAAAAAAAAAACAAGATCGCAAACAACACAAACACAACCAACAAAGACAGTGACCTTCTGTGGGCTATGTTGGGGCTGTTTGGCAGCCATTGGGGGGGAGTTTCGTTCAGCCCCCTTTGCCTATCCTTGGTGCCTCACGGCTGTTTCGGTTTCGGGAAGCGTCCGGGTAGGTGAAGCGAATGATGGCGCAGTTGGGTCGGCTTCGGGACATCCAGCGTGTCAACGCACAGGCCAGATGTTGCGAAATGTTTCGAGCGCACCTGGAATGGCGGAGTGAGAGCCCATGATGGTCACTAACTTGGTCCACCTGGGAAGTCACTGGACATGGACTAATTAACATAAAAGACAGGTTAAAAGGTCGGATTCGCTTTGGGCAAGCGAAATATCCAGAAGCCAACCAACCTTGACCCTGGTTCTGAACGATTGTAGGGTTCGCAGATCATTGGACCATCCAAAGCTCAGTTGCCCAAAGCCAACCCTTTCTCCTTTTGGCTTTCCTGATTTGGCCAATGCTCAGTTTCAGGTGCCAAAAGGTTCGCCTGTTGGTTCCAGGTCTTTGGGGCAACTGAGATGGTCACGTGTCGGACAAGGTCCCTAGGTCCCAAAATCCGTGAAGGAACCTGCAGAATGCTTACATCTATACAGCAGGCTCTACCAGAAATCGGTGTGCCACTCTCCTCTTAAAATTGCGTTTATCGGATTGCAGGCCCACGGTGGTGCTCACTGCTTGTTGGCATTTGTGATGTGTCAAAGGGGGACCCACAACTTGTAGTTGTCCTGTTTGTGGTCCTGGATGTCCACCCCCAGAAAGGCAGCTTCAAAAAAGCAGAGTGAGGCAGATGAGGCAACTGGGGCAGCCTCACTTCCGCGTTGTGCAAATCATAGTGAGCACGAATCAGCTAGCACATGGCTTGCCCCAGTTGCCCCAATTGTGGATTTCCCCACCCATTTCCTGGTTGACTATGCCCATTGGTTGGGTATGCCAACTGATTGTTGCTTGCTGTGTGTTTTCTTATTCTCGACTTGGGGAGAACGGGACGGCCCCAAACATCACATGCTGACTTTGGCAAGCAGGTTTTGAATTTGTTTGTGGTTCGCATGGAGGAGGGGCACCGCACCACCAATTGGGGTGGGGTTCAGGTTTTGGGCCCGGCGCGTTCTCGGCCCACCTGGGAAGAGGCACCAAAAGGCCGGCAATGGGCCAGGAGATCGGCATGGTGGAGCGTGAGCGCGCGAAGCTGTCGCGATACTGCCAAGTCAGCCCCTCGCCTCAAGTGAAGGAAGGCCAGACCTTCCCCTTGACGCCTACCTTTTCTACACACCCGCTACTTATTTGTTGATATAGTCAAGGTAAATATAGCAGAACATGTGTCTATACTGGTCATGTATACAATTTTGTGTATGTATGTAAATCCCAATGTTTGTTTGTTTGTTTGTTTGTTTGTTTGTTTGTGCAGCTGGGATGTCATGTCGGGATCGGACACTTATTTTGGGGGACGCTTCGAGCAGGTTTCGGCAGGCCGCACTCCCCCCCCCCCCCGAGCCCAAAGATTGTCGAGGAGAGACGGCCTCGGGAGCGGAAGCTGATCTGTTCCGAGCCTAGACCCGAGTACCAAATAGCCAACCTGTTCGAGTTACCACAAAAAGTATGCCCTCCAGTAGAGAGGTTAGACTATGGGTACCCTTTTTCTTCTGTAGGGGAACCCTCTCCCCAAAAAGGGTAAAAAGGGCACTACTAGGGGACCTGGAAAAGATCGCCAAAGGGGCGATGGGTTGTTCTTGTTTTGTGTCTTGACACTTCATTTTTTTCCGCCTAGGAGAGCTGCTGAAGGAGGGCGACCGGCAGAAGCTATCGGACAAGATCCGGTTGTTGCAGGACGACACCGACAAGCCTGGAGCTTGTAGCCGGGTCGGGGCTTGGGAGAGGCAGGGTCCGGGGTGGCTTGGGGGGGGCCATTGCCGGTCTGTGCGTCGCTGCTGGGTGAGTGGGAGGTGAGCCATGAACGGGGCAACCTATGAAAAGGTCGTCAAGTCACAACATGTTTGCTGTTCATTCCCTTGTAAGGGTGGTTTCAAAGGGAGATCACCCCTACAAGTCCAAAGAAGCAGTGTTGAGATTCCCTCAAAATGTTCGCTTTCACGGGCCCAGTTCAGGGCAGTTCCTACACGTGCAAGGCCCACAGTCTTCAGGAATGATATTGTCTGAGGCCAGCTACAGGTGCAAAGGACTAGCTCATGGTTGTCGAACAGGGGGGTTCGGGTTTCCATTTTCTGGGATTCCAACAGAATCCCCTTTGGAGGGGCAAGGTAGCGGGAGGGGAATCAGCCCCTTCAGTATCACAGCCATGGGCCTCTCGCGGTCGCCCAAGTCTCCCGCGCTCGGCTGCTAGAGTGGCTCGAACATTTCACTGCCAATGTTATGGCGCGCTCAACTAGGGATAAAGCGAGCTCATCACAATGTAAATCCTTTGCTTGGGGGATCCCTTATTTTAGGTTTTGGATGTGTAGCCAAAAATTGCTGTCTTCCTCTCACCCAACATGGAACCGCTGATAGGCATCCCTGCCGTACTTGGCCAACCCTTGCCCTCATTCCAGCCGGCCCAAAATACAAGCTTTAAGGAACACAAACAACACCAAGCAGGTGGCGCACGCTTCACCGCCAAATGGTTCAATCACCTTGGGGTGTGTGAACGATGTTACTTCCTGTGTTGACCGCTGAGAGGGTCAACATCGACCCTTTGAGCATTTTTGAGTTTTTCCAGCTTTGACTCATTAAAAGGAGGGCCCTCAAGAATAACCGAGACCTTTGGAGAGGCAGCCTACTCAGGTTTATGCCTTTTGGCACCCTTTCCAGGAAGTGCTGCAAACACTGTGTTTTGCCTTGCCAAGGGTTGGGCATCTTTCTCAACATTTCGGAGTGGCGCCCTTTGGTAGTTTTTTGGGTGGGCGCCTGTTTGGCTTCCTGCAACATCCGCCAGCCAACCTGTTCCGGTGCTTTCGCCATGTCCAAAAAGCCGCGGCTGGCGCCCCGACCACCGGCGCCGTCTGCGAGCGATGCTGACTGGCGCACCTGGGCGGAGCTTTGGGCGTCCTGGGACCCCAACGAGGCGACGCGGGCAGCGCTGCTTGCAGAGAGGCGGGAAGCGCGGCTTCGGGCTTTCGACCACTTCTGGTGCAGAAATAGATGGGTGTCCCATTTTACAGGTGATTCGGACATCGCTTGTGCTGTAATTTGCAAAGTGTCACTGCAAGGTTGCGTGTTTTCACAATGCACCACTACATCTAGCTAATTGTGTACCCACTCAGGGGTGGTCGATTTTTCCAAAGGCGATTGAACTGAAAGGCATGGGCGCTATTCAAGGCATGGGCTCTACTTTTCAGTGCCAGACCTACCGTTGAACACCCATTCATGTTCCAGCTGAATTTAAGAACTGTCTTTTCCCTTACCAGCGGATTTCAACAGAGACCTCTCTTTTTGTTTCGCGCCTTTTGGGTGTTCATTCATTGTCCCTTACTGAATTTGTCAGAGACCTTTTGTTTTGTTTTGGTGCAGCTTAAAAAGATGACGAACACCATGCGAAAGAAAAACCATGTCGGATCCGAAGCGCAAGATCAGGGCCAAATTCCCTGCAAAGAGGGTTCCAAGTGCCCAGCCCGTTTGCTTCCCCATTCTTTTCAACCATCGTTCTTCAAACAAAACAAGAAAGCAGCTGTTTCGTTCGGAATGTGCTAGTGGTTTCCTGAACAAATCCGGATCGGACAGCACCCTGAATTTCTCACGCGTTTTCCCTGACCCGGATTTTTTGTTCAACCAGTTGCCTTTTCCCTTTCATCCGGAAGTTTGACCTTTGGACCTTTCGCTGGGGGTTCCCAGCGCGCGGACGGGTCAACTCCGCCCCTTGCCGTCAGCCCCGGGTCGCTGCGGAAGCTGCTGGGCGCACGCCTGGAGTTCGGCACCGCGGGGCTCCGGGGGCCTATGGGGCTGGGCAGCGCTCAGATGAACGACCTGGTGGTGCTGCAGACCACCCAAGGCTCCATTTTTTTCCGGGGGCAGGATGGGTCAATGTTCTAATTCCAGGAATGGGACGCTCCAAACTTTGCGTTTTTTTTTGGGTACGGTATGGGTCAAAGTTGCTTTTCGCCAAGAATGGATTTGGACCACAGGAATTTAGGTCCTTGGTTCCATTTACCATGGCAAGCCATGGGTACTTTTTTTTTGACCCACAGCCATTTTGGGAACGGATCTTTGGGCTTTCACTTGTTTGGAAGTGGAGTTGCCATTGGACCCACAATAGTTCAAGTTTTTGCAGATGGGTCAACAGCAACCAAGGACTCGCACCAAAGTTGGGATGTGGGTGGGTGGGTTTTGTTTTCCAAGCCGACCGTAAGAGGCAACTCCGAAGAACACACCCAGTTGGGTGCCCCTGTGCTTGGCAAAGGGACATCGATTCTTTCTGTTTTCTTTCTTTTTTTGGGGGGGTGTTCCAAAAAAGACACTCCCGGATTCCGAATTCTCTAAGAGCCCCCCCCCCCCCCGTAGGTGGTTTTTGTGATTTTTTGGCGGCTGACATAAGCCAGAACATAGAATGGAGGGGAATTGTCCCAACCCAAGCCTTGTCACGACCTTCCCATACCTGCTTTTGGGCGGCTTTCCATGTGTTTGCGTTCTGGATCTCACCTTTTGGACAGAGGGGTTCCGGATGAGGATTCCAGGCTCACCCCTGATCGGGTCATCCATTAACAACACCTCCTTGGGAAGTTCCCTTTTGAAGCCCTGTTTAGCTTCTGAATTGTGGGCCACCTGCCTCCCATATATGGTAATACAATTAAATCATATTCCCATGCCTTGCAAGAGTCAGAAGGGGCGGGGGTGCAGATATATGCTCAGACGAAAAGAGGGAGCCTTCGCAGCTCGTGTACCTTCCTTGTCTCAAGCGGAAGAGGCAAACCCTGGGGCGAGCTAAGGGATCGAACGGGGGAAGCATGGGGAGGCATGCCAGTTTTGGTCCAACCCTTTGTTCCGCAACGCTAAAGGCCCGAGTGGGTGGCGTTTGCGTTTTGGGGTCGGGCCCCACTGGTTCCGCGGCCGCGGAACTTTCGCCTTGGCCAAGCCCCCGAAACGTTGCGAGCAGTTTACGAAGAAGTGCCACGCCGACTCGGTACGCCATGAAGGCAACCAAGGGAAGGCAAGGCTCGGGAGTGACACCAAGCTGTGGGAACGGTTGACATCCACCATGATCCACATCATGTTTAAGTCCGCCCGGTGGGAGCTCTGCGAGGCGTCTGCGCGTACCTGGAGTCTAGGCTCGGGGAGGCCGCGCCGCGGCGCGTGTGCGTGGGCTTTGACCACCGCGCCGGCGCCGGCTGCACTTCTAGGACCCTTCTCTTTCCATTGAGTCAAGCAAGCCGTCGCGTTTGAAGGATTTTGGGAACAAGACTTATGGATTGATTAGTTACTTTTGGTGACCTGAGGTGTTTCTTGAGGTGCTTTTTGGTCATTGCGCCAGGAGCTTTGCCCTGCAGGTGGCCAAGGCATGTGGCGGTGGGGCGTGGGGGATTGGTGAAGGCTTGGTTTGCAAGTGGGACGTGACGGTGCCAGACTTTGTAGCCGTTCAAAGAATTTGGCCTTGGGCTGTCCTTCGTTTTCAACTTTTCATCCAGCAAGCAGGTGAGATTTTCGAGGCCTAAGTCTGGCCGCATGCGCAGGAAATGTGTGCTGCTTTGTGGTTGGTTGTAGCGCCTCCCTGTCTCTAAGCCAGGTTGAATGTGCAGCTTCGGAGAAGTTCCCCACAAGGTTCCTTCTGAATCCTTCCTGGTAGTTGGACCACGCGCCATAGACGGCCGTGTATTTTCGTTGATTTTTCAGCCGGCGGGGGAGGGGGGGGTGGGGTGGGGGGGGGGGGGTGATCTCGGACTCGTCCACAGCGTTCATGTTTGTCTTCAGTGTTGGTTCGAATGTACCTTTCCGAGGACGCTCGTCTCGCCTTAGGTCGCGTCCTGATCTTGCGCTGTGCTGGCTCGTCCCCTCTTTTCTGCTGCCACCCAATCCTGGGTCCTTTTTTTGCTGTGTGCCTGGTCTCTCTCTTTGACGTAGTGACGCAAACCCCGGACCTGTGTTTGTCGCTCGTGGCAGAGATAGTCTTGCTGCCTCATCGGTTTCCACTGGCCTTTGACTCTCTTGGCCTTTGCTTGCCTGTGCTTTGGTCTGCTATGAGGCGTTCTGCGTGTTTTCCGCCCTCTCGCTTAGTCTCGCTGGCGTCCAGTTGCAAGGGGTGACACATCAGATGGTTGTCGCAAGATGGTGGTCGCATCGGTATGCAGAATTGATATATTTTGATGAATCGACAACATTTTGTGAAATCGGCAGTTAGTTTGCGGGATTCCGTGAAAGCATGTTGAAGTTGCAATTCTATTGGTGGAAGCACTGGTTTTGCTAATTCCCACTGGAATTGCAAGCACAGAGATTGAAGCAACACAGATGCATGAAAAACCATAGGAATATCAATGTTTATGACCGCTTCGCTGCTGCGAGCATGGCCGAAAACCCACGGCCATCTACGGCGCGTGGACCTAGTTTCCTCCCTAGGTGCGGTGGAGTGAGAATCTTTTGTGCGTCTTTGGCTTCCCATTGGGTCCTGAGTGTGGGTTTAACTCATTGCCCCTGATTACAAAACTACCCCCCCCCCAAAAAAAAAAAAGTATATATATATATATATAAACATAAACACTTTATTCATAGGATCGACTTCCCTCCCCTCACCGCTCCTGGCCTGGCCTTTCTTCAAGGAACGCAGGGGCAGGGGGGGGAGGGGAGAGGGGGTTGGATCTTACGATGTATGCCCTTGCGCTGCAAACTTGTTTGAGGCAAATCCCGGTCAAGAATTGGTTTTGGACCTCTGAAACAACCGAAAAGAGTACCCAAGAAAGACGCACCCAACATGGCGCATCAATGGCACAAGCCAAAAAGCGACTCTTGTTTGCAAGAGCCCTTGGTTTGGCCTTGCAGAGATAAGACTAGGGGGGCTCTTTTCAAGCACCAGCGGGTTTCTCTGGGTGTCCCGAGAAGAAGGATTAAGAAGGACCTCTGATTTTGGAGGAGAGCCCCTTTTAGTCGGTTCAAAGGGAAACTATCGGTTTAAAGGAAAACTACAAGGAAACCGTACCAACTAATTTGCAAGGACTTAGTTGCCCTTGGAAACGTACGGAGCCCCATTCCCTCGTGTGGATGTCAATTCCCCCAGACACATGGAGTCGTGTTCGCGTGTTGTTGTTACTTCCTGTCACTTTCAGGCTTGAAGTGATACGAAAGTGATACTGCAAAAACTCGCCCGCCCACCTTCGAATTCCCAAATGGGTGTGTCTTTTTGAGGGTTTGTGTTTTTCAAGGCAAGCCAAAGGACCATGACCATTTTTTTGCTTTTTTTCATGGGAGGCCAGGGTCCCCCCCACGCCCAACTTACACCCAAAATAGCCCCCAAAACCAACCCCCGAACGATTTCACCCCCCCTCCCCCAAGAAAGCAATCAATGACACCCCCTGGACCCACCATTTTGGTGTCTTGTCAGGGGCACCAAACAAAGCACCGCCATTTTTGGCAGGTCCCCTCCCCCAAAAAGAAAGAAACCGACACCCTCCAAGACCCAAATTACACCCAAAATAGCCCCAAAAACCCCCCCCCCCGATTTCAAAAAAAAAAGAAAAGAAAAAGAAAACGACACCCCCGGACCAGGTCTTCCTCCAGCGGGGCTTCGACGTGTGGCTCTACCGCGACTTTGTGGCCACGCCTTTGGTGCCGTGGGCCATGGAGCGCCGGGGCTGCTGCTGCGGGGCCGGGGTCCCAGGGTCCCAAGCGTCCAGTCGAAGCTTGGGCTCGCCTTTTTTTGGTGGACTTCCCCCGTTTTGCCCCCTGTGTGTCCTTCTTTTTTTGTATTGTTGCAGTACTCTTTTAATATTCTAGAGGGGGTGAATCCGCAAGAGCGACATCCAAACCGATATCTGGAGTGAAACCTTTCCCAGGGTCCCTTGCCATCTTTTGAGGATGTAGCTACTTTGATGCCAAGTTGGGTCCTTAGGGTTTGGCCTCCCCACTTGCAGCATGAATGGGAAATGCCTAGCCTCCCTGAGACTAACAACCGGAAGCTCCCCTAATTGGCCACTGCAAATGAAGCCAGGTCTTCCAAGGGTTTTTTTGTGGAATCGCCTAGGGGAGGGTAAAGCAAATAAATGGGGTTTAGTGGGTTTACACCCTCACAAGCAAACCAATAGGCCAGGCAGTTGTTTGGATCAAAGGCTTAGGCTTTTATTTGGAAGCCGGGTTGCAAACGTTCAGCTCAAGGCATTGCAAAACTTATCCTATAATTCTTACTCTTTGCTTTTTGCTGGTGTTCTTTCATTCCCCCTTTCAGCCGGAAAGACGGCGAACACATTTTGCGGGCCTTACGTGTTTTGGGGCTATTCAAAATCAGTCCCCGCAGACAACCGTGGAACCTGGCTGGGGGTTCTTGGTTTGGACCATTTTCATCCAAACGAGGGACCTCATGGTAACTTCCATGTTGGGTGGCTTGGGTGGTTTAATCCTTGTGCCAGATAGTGGGTCTCCCCTGTTTCAGCGTTCCTCTACGGATGGATTAGGATTATGGGTCTGCCCATTGGAACCAAGTTTGGGGCAATGTTGGTAAACTTACCAAGTGCCCGTTTTCCAACAATGGAAGGGATGAGGAGCCTTTCCAAGAGGATGGAATTTCAAAGCCCTCCCGTCTACTTCCATGGAAAGAGCTTGTTACTTGGCTTTCATTTCTTTAAAGGAGTTGGCCGTCCCTTTTTCCTTTGTATATTCTTCTGGGCTTCGGTGTTCGGTTGTTATTTTGTTTGGGTTGGACATCCCTTTTTCCGCTCCACCTTCGTTGTGAGTTTGGTCAAATAGAACATGGACTCGCGACTCACCATCATTTTGGTGTCCCTTTTTGAGGGTCTTTGTCTCTGTTTGTTTGGTTGGGGTCTGCATCGTGTTTGGTTTGTTTCTTGCGTTTTGGCGTTTGGTGTTTTGGTTTGTTGGCTGGCCACACCATTTTCACGCTTTTTGTTGGGCTTACCTTTTTGGGCTTGTTTGCTTGACCTAACCTTGCGGCGGTTTATTTCATGTCAAATGTGTCTTAACGTTGAACCTTTTGCTGGGTGAGTCTCCCTTTTCCAGTTTGTTTGTTGTGAGTGTATGTGTGGTGTGGGTGTGGGTGGCATGGGCTTGGCAGTGTATGTCTGTGCTTGGTGCTGGCATTCTGTTCACCCTCACTTTTGCTGTTTGTTGCATGCTTTCATGTTGTTCTAGCTTGTTTGTTTATGCGTCCACCAGTTTCATTCTTGAGCTTTCCGCTTCTCGCTGGTGTAGTTTCCATCCGAAGCCCAGCAACAAATGCGGTCCCTTTTTGCCGATGAGCCAAGGTGATGATCACGGCATCGCACAACCCCAAGCTGGACAACGGGTACAAGCTCTACTGGACGGGCTCTTTATCAGGGGTGTGGGAAAAAATGGACTTTGGCTGACCGCCTGTGTGATACCTATCAGGAACCGCTACCCTTCGCTTATTAGTCAGTGTGAAGGACATTCAACCAGTGGTATCACAGAGGAGTGTCGTCAGCATAATCGGAGTTTTGTTCAAGCACTGTTTTGCATTTCCTTTCTGCTCTTTTTTTGACCGTTAGCTTTCGAAGCTTGTGCGGGCCAAATGCGTTCCGAGTAAGCGGCATGCTTTGAATCAGGGCAAAAACGCAGCAACCCAGTTCTGAAGCCTTCACCTTGAGACCTCCTGCTTGGTTGAAAATCGGAGGATCCCACCACCACCGCCCGCCCCCCCCCCCCCCCTTCGGCCCATGGCTGCCAGCTGTCACCCAAAACCATTTTGGCCTCAGGAGGTCAAACGAGTTGATATCCGTTTGGGGGTCCCGGTGGCAGTGCAAAAGGGCTAGGGAGACAAAACTCAAGAGGCTTTCTAAAAGTCAAGTTGGACCTCCAAGTGTGTCCAACTTTGTTTCCTCCGGCTGGTCTTGCTCCAACCAGATGCTTGAACTTGAGTAAAACAAATCGGTTTGGTTTTTTCCCCTAGCTTCCCTTGCCCAATTAATTGCGTATAAGCATTTCGGAGCACGCTCGTTTAACGAGGCGGGCTTCAAGCTTTGCCTTCTCCAGGTGAACATGGGGCCACCGGCCGTCTTTTTGGCAGAATCTCAGGTTCAGGCCCCTGCCTTTTGGTTCCATGTCAATCTGAAGGGCAAATTCGTGAGCCCGCGCAAGGGAGATCCGCTGCTCAGTCAATAGTGGAGATCCCGGCAGCTGTGTGACACCCCATCAAGCAGGCATTAGTTCCTCGCAGGGAAGGTCACCTTCAAAAAGTAATTGCCGAGCCCTATGGCTGGTCTTTGGTGGCAGGTTTTGCACGCAGCTTGTGAACCAACAAACCACGGGTTTTCCTTATGGGTTTCCCCCGGAATAGTAGTCCGCCATGGGGTAGTTTGGCCACATCCTTGTTTGGAGGTCTTCCAGACTGTTTGGGTCGCAAGCCTTGGCCAGGAGCAATTGCGCCCAGATCATCCCACCCCACGACGCGAAGGTTGCAGCTCTGATCGAGGAGAACCTGGAACCCTGGTCTCAGGAGGCTCTGGAGGTGTTGGAGCACCCGCGCTGCAAGGATCGACCCGGGAGGTGGAGAGACCAGCTACGCTGTGGCTTCCTCTAAGTTGCTTCTTGCATGTTGTTCGCTGTGGCGTATGGAAGGGGCCTCCCGGGTCCCCGAATGAGCGTGGCCCATAGATTTTCCCTTTTGGTCAGAAGGGCAAGACAACTCTGATGTGCGTCAGGAGACAAACTTCGCGTATGGTAGGTGTCCCGTTGGTTTTCTAAGAATCCACCAAGGGGTTCCCACCGAAATGATGCGCTAGTGTCCGTGGTCCAACATGGGTGTGGATTTTGATGGATTTTGTGATGTTGTCCTTGTCTTTTTACATGTTCTGGGAAACCCAGCAGAGACACGCCCACCACAAACCCATGTTGAACACCATCCACCCCCAGGTTGTTCACTGATCATTCGATCGATCGAAGCACGGCACCTGACCAAGCGATAACTGTGTGTCTCTTTTTGAGGGTCCCCTTGTTCGTTCCCTTTTTTACAGGGAAACAAACAGGAACATAACAATTTTACGGGTCCCCCCACCAAAAAGACACCTACAAGGAGTTGCTACTCACCGTCCTCCATCTTTGGAGGACCCCGTGGGCGAGGGCCTCTTGGAGGACTACTTCCACAGCCTCCGGCGGCTCAAGTCGGCCGCCCCCGGCAAGGCCAGGGGTGGAGGTCGGGTTTGGGTTCCCGTTGGTCACGCAGAAGGGTTTGTCTCAAGAACAGGAACCTCTTGTCTTTGTGGAGGAGCTAAAAGGGAAACCGCAAGGAACGGAACCACCCAGAGAGAGTCTGTAATGTTGATAATGTTGGCCGTTTTAGACAGTTCTGCCACTTGGGTGTTCAAAGGATTTTGGCCTTGGTAAATGTAGCGGTTTTAAACAGGAAAACACAATTGGAGACCAAGCACCTGGGTTCACTCGCTTTGACACATGGCCATATTCTTTTTAGGGGTGGGTTGGCCACCCTTTGTGTTCGGGGCCTGCACAAAATGAGATCAACCGAATTAACAGGGATCCATATTTTCCTTCCAGGGCCAACGAGCAATTCAATTCGAATCTCAGCACAAACCTTACCGCCAGCCCCCCCCCCCCCACCCCCCAACCCCCACCCCCCCCTCGCATGAGGGATGGTGTGTAGGGTTTTGGGTTCAGCAGCATGGACCTGAGGGGACGAGTGGAATTGCTCGGCTTAAATGCGGAGATGGAGAACACAAAGGACCAAGCCGACCTCACATCGCCTAAAATCCGGGATCTGGGCTCCCCAGAATCAAGCGATTCATTTGGCCTGTAAAAGGCCCCTTTTCACCTTCTTCTTCGCCAAACCCAACATCCTATTGGAGCCCCTCTACTCCACCAACCCCCCTGCCGAACACCTGAAAGTCCGAAAAACCCGCTCGATTCCGCCGCGGGTTCTCCAAAAAAACACACATTCGGCCCAGGATTTGCCCGTGGTGTACACGGCCATGCACGGCGTGGGCCGCCCCTTCGTGGAGCGCGCCTTCGAGGCTTTCGGGCACCGCAGGCCGCAGGTGGTGGCGGAGCAGGGCGACCCGGACCCCGAGTTCCCCACCGTGGCCTTCCCGAACCCCGAGGACGGAACCACGGCGCTGTGGCCCCTTTCTGATGGGAGTCCCCCCCCTTCCCCCCCCCAAAAAAAATGCAGAGAAATGGGGGGGGGGGGGGGGGTTCCCTTTTGGTTTCCCTTTAAACCAGCCCAAAAAAGGGGGTGCCCCCTAAAAATGTTCCAATTTGGGTACCCTCAAGAGAAGACATATGAGAGCCTAAATAGTTTGAACAGGGTGGGGTGCTTAAACACAAAACTTTGTCATGATAGGAGCCTTTACTGAGGAGATCTTTCAACTGAGGCGTTGGAAGCATTACACAATTCGCAAATACCTCCTTGGGACTGCCATTTGATCCTTGAGCCAATCCCCTATGAGATTTTGAGTCTTTACTTTTGCAGTTTAGGTCTACTCCTTGGCTATCATGGTCTTTGGTTTCCACTCAAAGCAGCTACTGATGCTCTTCGGAATCATGCTGGTAGCCTCCCGGCCCACCCGCACAGAAGAAAACGCAAACAAACAAACAAGCAAACAAACAAACAAACAAACAAGTACGTCCGCCTTAGAAAAAGCGAACACCAACCAAATGAGCAAACAAACCAACAAGCACGTCCTTCCTTGCGTTTTCCTGAGGAGGGGGATCCCCCTTATAAGAAACAGCAAACAGAAAGAATAATAGACAATCTTTAGTGTGTAGTAGGGATTTCCATTTCCCCCCTAAAAGTTATTCACTTTTAGCGGGGGATCTGAGGACAGCCCAGCTTCCTTGGTTACCGTTTAAGTGCATCCCCCAGAAACAAAACCAAAAGCAAGCAGAACAAAAGCACACAAAGACATGCCCCCCCTTCCAAAACACCCAGTTCCTTCACCTTCCTTGGTTCCCTTTTTTCCTTCCCTGGAGGAGGGGAAGGGCGCCCTGGCCCTGGCCTTCGACTTGGCGGCGGCCTCCGGCTGCGACCTCGTCCTCGCCAACGACCCCGACGCGGACCGCCTGGCGGCGGCGGAGCGCCAGCCCGGCGGCGCCTGGCATGCCCCGGCCCCGGATCGGCGGATCGGCGGATCGGGGCCTTTTCGGGGATTCCTGAAAAAAGGAAACCATGGGGAAATGGAGGTCCAAACGAACTCATGATCACACATGAATCAACCCAGGTTGATTAATTGGGGGGGTCAACGGGTTTCCCTTAAAAGGGAACCAAGCAAAAGGGATGGGAACGAGGGTAGGGAATGACCCGTTTTGGGATTCGCGAAGAAAGGAAACCATGGCAAATGGAGGGTTTATACGGGTCATTCAACCAACCAGTTTCTTGATAGGGGGGTGGGGGCCCCTCCGAAAGTGGTTTGAATTCCACATAAATCCAGGGAAAACACCCCCCATTAAGACACTGGGGTTGATTAATATGGGGTCAACATTGTACAGCAAGTGCGGCACGACCGAGGGGGGGGGTTGTATTTGGTAGGTGTTTTTTCCAGAGCAAGGGAGAGGCTGCTATGTATTTTTGTTGTTGGTTGACTTGTTGCAGTTTTTTAAGGGAATAGGCGAGCTTGTCCACTTAAAGGGCTTCTTTAAATATACGACCACTTGCAACCAGCGACCACTTGCAGCTAGGGCTTAAAAGGGGTCCTTGAGAGGTGCAATTTCAGTGCAGTTTGGTGTAACCCATCAGCACATCATATTTGTGGGGGGGTAATGATCTCAGGTGGATACTACTAGAACCTCTGGATTGAAATCTGTTTTCCTGGTTGGTGCAATGCAAATGTTTGCGTTTTTGGGTTCGCACGGAAAGCTGGTGTTTTCTACGTTTCCTTTGACCTCGTGGACGGCAAGGACATGCTGTGTTTCAACTTGTCTCTGCCAAAGGAATTGCTGTTTAGTGTTGCCTGTTGGTTTCAGTCAAATGTTGCGGTTGCGTTATGCCTCTTTGGTTTACAAGGGCATGTTGTTTTCTACCGGTTTAAGGCAGCCAGGGTACGTTATAGTTTCTGCATCCGGGGTGAATGGGACACCGCGTATCTTCGAAGTGTAAGCCCACATCTTCCAACTCGCGTACTAAGTGCTTTGAAGGGGAACCAGCCCCCGGAAGTGAATTTGACCAAACGTTCACTCATCCCGGGGCCAAGCTATGCCGGAACCGCCCTTTTTTCAGGGAAGCTGACCTACCGGGGGGGTCCCACCACCAATGTCCATCCGAGGTCTTCACGGGCAACGAGCTCGGGGCGCTGCTGGGGCACTGGGCCTGGCGCTTGTGGCGCCAAAGTCACCCCGACCAGAGCCCGGACAAGGACGGGGGGGGGGGCGTTTGAACCAAGTGGCGCGGAGTTTCTGTCGAGGCTATTCGATTTGGGGTGTTTTTGGATGAAGGATGCCATGGTTTTGGGGATTGACTTGCTTCCACGCAAGATCATGTAACCCAAAGACAGGGGGGCCAAAAGGACGGAGATTCCACAGACACTGATGGTTTGTTGGGTTCCGTGATGCTTGGCAGGGTCCTAACGTTTATTTCGGATGCAGGTAAGGGACAGGTCCGCGGGCCCTTCCAGGTGTGCATGGTGGCTTCAACTGTGTCTTCGAAGAGCCTTGGCGATGCCGGTGCCTCCCCCAAATCGCATTGTTGGAGGCCCACCCCTAAACCTGCAAATCCCTTTCACAAACCGGGCCTCCAAAAACTTGTTGTAAGCATTTTAGAACTTGAGAGCCCCCTGCTTCACAGGATCCAAACTCCCCTCCCCCAACACGCCCCTGATATCCTCCAAAAATTGACTCTGCTCGCAGTCACTTGGCCGGTCTCAGAATGCCGAAGCCTCTCCAAACCCTGCCAAGTCTTTCCTGCCTGAAGAGTGAGAGGCGTGCCTGAAAATGCATTTATTGCACTCATGGGCAGGTATTTGTTCAAAGTGTCTTGAACTTTCAACTGCCGACCCACCAAGTAAAACCGCTAAAGATGCTCGGCGCATGGTTTACGTGTCTCAAATTCGTGAGCGCTTCCTCATGCATTCCCCGCTCCAAAAAACATACACATAATTCTCAGAGAAGACGCATATTTAGAGCCATGGCGCCTGGAGAATCGCGAACGCGGCGTCCCTTTAAAAACTGTGTGTGTGCAAAATCTGGATCTTCTCTCCAGGCCTTGGAAAAACCAAGCCGTTTAAGCCAACCTTGCCGGGCTCCGTTGGGGTTTCCTCGCTTAAGCGCTGGCCGGACACGCACCGATTTCGCCCGGAAACGAACTACTTCCACTTTGGCAGCCTTGGTCAACCTTTTTCTGGCACCCTGTTTGGAAAGCCAACATTCTGGGGTTTACGGCAGTGTGTATAACCTCCGGTTTGTCTGGCAAACAGGCGACCAAGTGGGAGTTTCAACAAAATGGTGCACTTGAGCTTAGCATTTCAGGAAGAAAAGGACGCCCCCCCCCCCCTCCCTCAATTTTGGGAGAAACCTCGCAATCCCCTCGTTTAGAGAAGCCAAATTCCGGTGGGACCCACCCCCCACACAAGCCCAGGTTCCAGGGGTTGATTCCCCATTCTTTTGAACCATCGTTCTTTTCGAATACCAGCTGCTTCCCATGTTTTTTTTGGTTTTCTAGAAAGAAGGATCCCTGGGAAGAATGGACATGGAAGCTACCCTTAGGTTCCTGGGCCGCGTGGCGGCCACAGAGGGCTTCCGCTTCGTGGAGACCTTGACGGGCTTCAAGCGCCTTGGCTCGTGCATGCAGCGGCTTGGGGAAGGAGCCGGCAGGGGATCCCAAGAACGAGGATAGGGAAAAATCCCGAGAACGACCTCCCGCAAATGCTTCTTCCTGCAGGCCTTAGGATAGGGAAAAGTTGGCGTTGTCCCGTTGGTTTCCCTAAAGAAAACCCATGAAAAAGGGTTGTTTTTTTCCTAGAACACCAGGGATGGTTCGGGGTCATCTACCCGACGGCGCCAGGTGGATGGGCTCCAAAAGCGGCAGCCTCCGGGACCAAGGCGGGCTCAGCTCTCTCTCGCCTCGGATCCTTGAAACGTGTTGTTTGCTGGGTCGTTATTTTGACGGTTTCTGGGGGCTGTCAAAGCTGGAAACTGGGGGGGTTTCCCTTCAACCTACCACTTAGGGCTTAGGGGGTGACTTTGATAATGGTATTTTTTTTGTTTTGGGGCGGGGGGGGGGGTGTCTCAGGGGGGTGGTGGTTTCAAACAATCACCCCAAATACCAGCCGATCAGGATCCGAGTCGTTGTAAAGCCGGTGGTTTTGGGACACATATTCTGTAAGCGGACCCTCTTGCAGTGAACGATAACGTTATCCGAAGTCAGGTGCCGAGAACGAGGCATGTGTGCAGGACTTGCATTCAGATGGCTTAAAATTTGAAACCCACGCACCATGGGTCGCAGTGACCTGATTGGCATGTGTGGCAGAGGTGTCTAGAGTTGATCCTTGGCGATGCGTGTTTGGTTGTTTACCGCTGGGTGCTTTATGTAGCTGACATGCAGAAAGTAAAAATCTTTGTTGGCCTATTTAAGTGTCCGGATATTTGAATGTGAGAGAGGCTAAATGCTCTGGTGCCAACACATTTCTTCGGTGATTTAATGAAACCCCCAAAAAAACAAGTGTCAGAAACCTTCAGGAACGATATAGTGAACCCCCAAAAACGAGAACTTCCCAGTTGAATCGCCCACACGAGCTATCCATCTTCGGATTCTAAGGCCCATTTTTGTGATAAGGAAACGCCCCTGAACGGGGACCAAGTGTGTGGTTGAGGGAATTGACCACCTTGGTACTACGGGGGGGCTTTTTTTTCCACAAGGTCCAGGCCTCTAGTTTTCACCTAGCGCCTCGGGAGGCTTCGAAGTCATATTCGCTTTCGAGGAGGCCATTGGCTTCTGCGTCGGCGATCTGGTGAAGGACACGGCTCGTGGGCCTCGCCGGTCTCCAAAACCCCGGTGCTGGCCTTTTTTAGGCAAAGGCACCCCCATTCACCAGCTACAGGCTACAGGTTGGTTAATTGGCTGACTATGGTGAACACGGCGCTGCAGCACTCCCCTCCCCAAACGGGAGTTCCCCTTTGCAACAACCCCCTGAAGGACCCGCAACTCCAGACAAATCCCAATACCTACCAAATAGTCCAGGTTCCATAAATGGGAGACAGAACGGAGGAGTAAGTGATATGTGAAAACCCATGCGTCACACTGCAAGATCCCCTCATTTAATAGGGGACCCTGACTTTTGGACATTGGTGCAGTCGGGCACTACGACCACCCTTGGACAGGGAGGCGTCCTATTTTAGGGCACCTTTACTTTGACCACAAATTTATCAAGGACTGTCACCGGTGCGAATCAATGCGTTCTTTGCCTCGTGACAGTGCCACAGTACTGAACCTGGAGTATTGGGTGCTCGTCAATGGCCATGTAACCACAAAAAGGCGAAGCGCTGGCTGCAGACTTTACTCGCGTAATACAGGTTGGCGTACGGCCACATAGGGCATTGCGAGCAGTGCCAACGCTACAAGTTATTCTCAAGACTTGGTCTTCAAGGACCTTACCCAAAAACATGAGTATGGTTTCTATCCTCCATGCCCTGAATTCTCAGGCAGCGTTTTGTTTTGTGGTCCCCAATCGGTTTTTGCTGGTAGAAATGCCAGGTGTTCTGTTTGTGGACAAAAAACACCAGCACATCAAACAGCCCCCCCTCCCCCCAGAAAGACAATACAAAATAGACTGTGGAAAGTTGCCGGTCTGTTGGGTGAAAGTAGATGTCACTCCTGCATGGCTTAGTCATCCCTCCACGCAGGGGGAATTCTGCCGTGTATTTTCTTGGTGTCAAGGATTCACTTGAAGATTCCCAGTTGAACCTACCCTCTGAGGGTTCTCATGGCTTACGGGGGCATGTTTGCAAAGAACTTCGAGGTAGCTACTCATAGACAGAACTGCAAAGAACCACACCGGTGAATTAAAGGACAATCACGAGAGTGCCCAGTAAGGTCGCGGACCAAGGACTGTTCGACAACCACATGGACACCATAAATCACTTCACTAGGCAACCAGTTTACAGCCACTATCAACCACTTTCGTGTCTTTGCTCAACAACCGCGAGCGGTTTCGGGGGAGGGGGGGGTGGAATAGGCCCTGTTAAAAGGGAACCCGGCAACGGCAGTTTCTGACATTCAGCCCCCGAAAATCTCACCATGACCCCAAAGAAATTTATGGAAGGACAAGGACGGCATCTCCGCGGCCGCGGTCTTCGTGGACATGGCCCGCGCGCTGCGGGAGTCCAACAAGCGCTGCCTGCAGCACCTGGAGGCTCGAGATCCTCGTCGGCCGATGGGAGCCGCGAGTTCGGAGCGTGGGGTGGAGGCATAAGACGGGCTAATGGCCACCCGAGGCCCAAAGATGGCAAAATGCGGTGGAGCAAACGCCCAAAGGTCATGGCAGAATGATGTGAAACGTGAGATGCCAAAGAAGGCAGTTTTGAGGCGACCGAGAGATGCTTTGTTTTCCCGAAAGCATGGCGAAGGGTTCTTCCGCTGGGTTCACTTGAGTTGTTCTCATGAGAGTCATTACAAGGTGTCATTGCAAGGAATCATCATCATGAAAGTCAATGCAAGGAGTCATTGCAAGGAGTCATTGCAAGGAGTCATTGCAAGGAGTCATTGCAAGGAGTCATTGCAAGGAGTCATTGCAAGGAGTCATTGCAAGGAGTCATTGCAAGGAGTCATTGGAGTCAAGGAGTCATTGCAAGGAGTCATTGCAAGGAGTCATTGCAAGGAGTCATTGCAAGGAGTCATTGCAAGGAGTCATTGCAAGGTCATTGCGAGCTGCGCATGGAGTCAAGGAGTTTGACTTGCGAGGAGTTAAAATCTGTTCTTAGGGCGGCGGGGTAGTGCCGACGACATAAAAGGAAATCGACCCTCTGCGGGGATCGGCGTGGTCGAGGTGCAAAAACCCATGGTTTTTTGGAATTTCTAAAGTTCCCGCGCGAACCTCTGCGGGGATCGGCGTGGTCGAGGTGCAAAAACCCATGGTTTTTTGCGATTTCTGCGCTGCTCGCGCGACCATCTGCGGGGATCGGCGTGGTCGAGGTGCAAAAACCCATGGTTTGTTGCGATTTCTGCGGTGCTCGCGCGACCCTCTGCGGGGATCGGCGTGGTCGAGGTGCAAAAACCGATGGTTTTTTGCGATTTCTAAAGTTCCCGCGCGAGACTCGGGGATCGGCGTGGTCGAGGTGCAAAAACCGATGGTTTTTTGCGATTTCGAACATGCTCGCGCGACCCTCTGCGGGGATCGGCGTGGTCGAGGTGCAAAAACTCGAGGTTTTTTTTTCGATTTCTGCGGTGCTCGCGCAACCCTCTGCGGGGATCGGCGTGGTCGAGGTGCAAAAACCCATGGTTTTTTGCGATTTCTGCGGTGCCCGCGCAACCCTCTGCGGGGATCGGCGTGGTCGAGGTGCAAAAACTCGAGGTTTTTTGCGACTTTTGTTGTTCGAACTGGTCCTCGGGAGTTGTCTCGTGGTTCGCGCGCCTGCTCCCGGGCCGGCCGGTCGCGGGTTCGATTCCTCCCTGGTCCGCGGGCGGGCGTCGCAAGACGCAACTTGCATTTTAAAGCAACTTGCGCAGACCAACTTGCACCGACCAGTTTGCGCAGAGCGCCTTGCCTAGAGCAACTTGCGCAGAGCAACTTACGCAGAGCAACTTGCACAGAGCAACTTGCACAGAGCAGCTTGCACAGAGCAACTTGCAGGGAGCGCAATTTGCACAACTTGCGCAGAGCAACTTACGCAGAGCAACTTGCACAGAGCAACTTGCACAGAGCAGCTTGCACAGAGCAACTTGCAGGGAGCGCAATTTGCACAGAGCAACTTGCAGGGAGCCACTTGCAGGGACCAACTTGCCGGAGCAACTTGCGCGGAGCAACTTGCGCAGAGCAACTTGCACAGTGCAACTTGCGTAGAGCAACTTGCGCAGACCAACTTGCACCGACCAGTTTGCGCAGAGCACCTTGCCTGGTGCTGTCTCGCGCCAACTTGCGCATATTGCAACTCGCACAGAGCAACGTGCAGGGAGTCACTTCCAGGGACCAACTTGCCGGAGCAACTTGCGCGGAGCAACTTGCGCAGAGCAACTTAGTGCAACTTGCGTAGAGCAACTTGCGCAGACCAACTTGCACCGACCAGTTTGCGCAGAGCACCTTGCCTGGTGCTGTCTCGCGCCAACTTGCACACACTGCAACTCGCACAGAGCAACTTGCGCAAAGCAACTTGCGCAGAGCAACTTGCGCATGTGCCAGGCCGGGGTTAAACAAGTTTGCCGCACATCGTGGGGAGTTATGCTTTCAGGCCACTCACCCTGTAGGAGTTTGACGCAAGGAGTTCTCATCATGAAAGAAGTTGCGGGGAGCATGGCGCACACGGCTTATTTACGGGCATGGCGCACACGGCTGGTTGTTATGTGGCACCTTGCGGATGATCATCGAGATTTGGCTCAAACAGAAGTCATGGAGCTCGAAGTAGCTAGGCTTCAGGCTGGCGCGGCCCAGCATGGCAAAGCGTGGCTGCAGCAAGAGATGGCGGCCAAAGCCCAACCCCAACTTCGCGCACTCGCCCGACGGCTGGATGTGCGCCAATGGGTCGCAGGCAGCAACGTGACCAAGGCAGACCTAGCTGCCGCTGTCGTGGAGAAGCTGTGCCCACAGGCCAGGCCACAGGCCAGGATCGAAATCTGGAGAGTTTTGCTGGTGTTTGTTTTGCTGTGCTGATTGTTGCCAGGAGAGCAGCTTGCGCAGAGCAGCTTGCGCAGAGCAACTTGCAGAGCAACTTCCGCAGCGTAACTCGCGCAGAGCAACTTGCACGGAGCACTTTGCGCAACTTGCGCAGAGCAAGTTGCACAAAGCACTTGTGCAGAGCAACTTGCGCGCAGGGCACGTGCCCAAGCAGCTGTTGCGTGCATATGTGCGTGCATGCGTGCGCGCGGTTGCATTTTTCTGTTGGTTTGTGTGTGTGTGTGTGTGTGTGTGTGTGTGTGTGTGTGTGTGTGTGTGTGTGTGTGTGTGTGTGTGTGTGTGCGTGTGTATGTGTGTGCGTTTGTGTTTGCGCTTCCTGCGGGTCTGTGCGTGCGTGCGTGAATGAGGAGCGAACTGTAATACTTGTTTTTTTGTCTGGCAAATCATGTTCTTTTTTCTGGCAAATGGGTGTGGGTGCGAGGACAGGCGCTGATGGCCAACATGGTCCAGCTGGTGGCACGAGCTCTGGTTCCTCGCAGTTTCCTCAACCTCCACGCGGAAGCCAAGGGCAGTCTGCGACTGCGCGCAGCACAGACGGATTGCGATCTCCTTGTGATCGGCAGCCACACTGCGCGAACTGGCGCCGTCACGAGAATGATTCGAAGCTCGGCTTGGAGAAGAAGCTGCAGTACCTCTTTCTCTACGCAGCGGAAGCCCGAAGTCTGACTTGCATGCGGCACTACGTAGAAGTAGCACACGTAGTCCTCGGGAGTTGTCTCCTTTTTTTTTGCGTGCTTTTTGCTTGCGAATTTGTCTTTGGCAATTGTCTCGTGGTTTGCGCGGCTGCTCTCCGATGTCGCGCGGTCGCGGGTGCGATCCCCGCCTGGTCCGCGGCAGCTCTGGCTGCACGCAGTTCCAGCTGAAAGTCGCAAATTTTAAGTGCAAAAGTAGTACGCGGAGTACATTCCCGCACCTCCAGCTCCAAAATCACAAGAGTAGTACGCGGAGTACATTCCTGCAGCTCCAGCTGCGAAACTTGCGCCGAGCAACTTGCGCCGAGCAACTTGCGCAGAGCAGCTTGCGCAGAGCAACTTCCGCAGCGTAACTCGCGCAGAGCAACTTGCACAGAGCACTTTGCGCAGCGCAACTTGCACAGAGCAAGTTGCACAAAGCACTTGTGCAGAGCAACTTGCGCGCAGGGCACGTGCCCAAGCAGCTGTTGCGTGCATATGTGCGTGCATGCGTGCGCGCGGTTGCATTTTTCTGTTGGTTTGTGTGTGTGTGTGTGCGTGTGTATGTGTGTGCGTTTGTGTTTGCGCTTCCTGCGGGTCTGTGCGTGCGTGCGTGAATGAGGAGCGAACTGTAATACTTGTTTTTTTGTCTGGCAAATCATGTTCTTTTTTCTGGCAAATGGGTGTGGGTGCGAGGACAGGTGCTGATGGCCAACATGGTCCAGCTGGTGGCACGAGCTCTGGTTCCTCGCAGTTTCCTCAACCTCCACGCGGAAGCCAAGGGCAGTCTGCGACTGCGCGCAGCACAGACGGATTGCGATCTCCTTGTGATCGGCAGCCACACTGCGCGAACTGGCGCCGTCACGAGAATGATTCGAAGCTCGGCTTGGAGAAGAAGCTGCAGTACCTCTTTCTCTACGCAGCGGAAGCCCGAAGTCTGACTTGCATGCGGCACTACGTAGAAGTAGCACACGTAGACCCCGGATGTAGGTCGTGCCAAAAAACGGCGCGTGACTGGGCTGCGAAGACTAACAAGGTTTTGCCGCCCGACGTGGAGGGTTTCTTCCAGAGCCACGGGCTGTAGAGTTTTTGCTGCAGGAGGCAGTTGGATTTGACGCGGACTGTGCGGACAACCTCGCTTGCGATGTTCTGCTTTCGGGCCAACCGTGGTCTAGTTTTTTCTCCCCCCCCCCTCCCCTCACTATGCCGCACCAGTGGCAGCTATGGCACCGGGTTCTGGAAATGCGCTGGGCAGGTTCCCAATGCTTGAAGGGTCCGCCAACTGACATGTTGCAGTGTTTGCGCGGGAGCTACGGCCCCTGGGCGGCAGGCCTAGCTGGGCCTTTGGGGCTCGGAAGGTGAGGCATGTCAGTCCTTCCAGAATGCAGCAACATACTTTCAATCATGCCCCCTTCCGAAGAGAGCTCAAACAGTGGAGCCATATGCAGGTGGCAATGTTCGAAGGAAACGGCACAAAGCAAAAGAAGCCAGGATGACTTTGCACGTATGTCAAGAGTTCAGGGCTCGCCCCTTGCAACTTGCCCGCCGGTTGACTTCCCTTGGGCTTCCTGGCCAAGTGCAACAGAGGGGATCAACAAGCATGTTGGAAGCCATTTCTACTGACACATTTGCTTTTGGAATGGCCCCCGCGTTCAGGCTTCTCCGTTTGGCATCGGGTTTCTTCCTGTGGTTCCGAGCTGTGAGAAGCTCCGCCACGTCCGTGCTACCGCTGAAAATGCCCTTACACAATTTGTTGTTGGCTGAGCGGTAGCTATCACAGAAGTGGGTTTTCCTAGGCAAAACGACAGCGAGTCAGGCACTCCACGGCTCTTAGACCATGGCCAGATGGTCCAGAAACATGGCTGGCTGTTTTGGGTGGCTGGTTTGCCCGCTGAACAAGGCCATCCCCAGGGTGCCGATGTTTGTTTTCTGGGGCAGCTGGGACTTCCAAACCGCAAACAAAGTGCGCGCGGCAGGACTTGTACCATCAGTACGGTGCCCTGCAGTCCTTGAACAGCTACGCCGCCGGGCGGAAAATGAGGTCATTGAAACCAGGTGGATGAACAAAGGGGGCCGCCCGGCGGCCCCCCGGATCTCCCCTCTAGAATCGGACGTCCGCTCATTGACCAACCAGAATGTATGAATTTTTGCTTGCCTCACATGCAGCCCACCAGGGGGCCTCTTTGAGAATCCAAGCCATCCGCGCTTGGGAGCAAGTAAAACGAGCGACTTAGCATGAGGCAGGTTTGTAACTTTGCTTTGGATGTCTGAATGAGGTTTGAGTGGCTGATTTTTGCAGAGGCTGATGGGGACCCAGTTGATGCATCACCCCTATCACTAGTAGATGTGTAGAGATCTTTTGTCGGGACAAGCGACCCCGTGATTTTCTGTCAGGCTCATTCGATCTTTCACTGTTGGCGTAAATGCTCCCATGATTATGCGTCAGGCTTACTAATCCAAGGCCATTTGTTGTGTGCCTTGGTGTGATCCTCATGGGAAAGTATGAGGAGCCCTAAAAATTGTAAAGGAGCTATCATCAGGTGGCACAAGGCCTTGGCTTATTCCCTTGCAGCTTGTTTCAAAATCCTGTTTGCCCAGTGGCACCAGTTTTCCAATGCTCGGTAGGGCTTCTTTTGCAATGAGCCAACAGAGGAAGAATGGATAAATTGATTTATCGAACAGATGGTATAAATAGATGATAGATAGTTAACTAGGCCGATAGTTAGATTGGGTAGATGGATAGTTACAAACACCCTATTGCCCCAGGTCTTCCTGTTGCCCGAGGTGAAATCACCGGACCCTGCAGTCACGTCGCAGCTCTTCGCGGCCCAGCGGGGAGACGGGGCGAGGGCCTACCCACAGCGCGTGGGAAGCTTCGTGGTGAAAGGCGTCAGGGACTTGACGGTGGGCTACGACAGCCGCCAGGTGGGGAAGACCGAGAGGGGGAAGACAGATTTGGCTGTGGCTCAAAAAAAGTGGTACCAATTTTTGGGCCCTTGGATGGCAAAAAAGACCCAAACCCGTGTAACTCCAGCTCTTTAATTTTGAGCCACACCCTTTTGGCTACAAGAGAACCTCACTCCCTGAGTTCCTGGACTTTAGTCACTTTCTTGGGTTTGGACCATTTCAGCGGTGAATAAAAAAGTTGGACTTGTCTTGGCCGGTCCAATCAGGAGGTGAGTAACGCTGACCTTTTAGCCTCTTGGGTAAGCCTAACTTGGCCCATGTTGAGTCTAGATCCCTGATTTTTTGTTCAGCCCTGTTTTTCTTCAAGTTGGGTGACCGGCCAGGTCGATGGCAAGCCTGAGTTGCCGCTGAACCTGGGTGGGGCCACTTGGCGCACATTGGCGAGGCGGCGAGGCGCGCGCCCAGAGTTGCTGCAGTTTGCGCGGGCATTTGCACCGGCACTTGCGAACGCGTGCCCAGGCAGTACGCCATAACTGGGCCCAACTCTGGTTTTACCTCCTTTTGGGCGCGGACCATTCGCCAACCCGCAAGAAGTTGAACTTTTCTGCGAAGGGGGCAATAGGCACCAAATTTACCACGTGTCCTTTCACGACAAGCTTGTTTGGAAGGAATGCGCGGCCACCAACTTGGAATTCCATACCATGTTGACCTTGAACATCCACCCAAACCTGGCATTCCAGTGCCCGACCTCGCCGTTTGGTGTCGTAAGCTGCAGAAACTCGGTTTTCTATTGGGTCACCGCAGGGTCACGGGAGGCTTCAGGATGCCCGCGGGATCGATGGACCAAGGAGATGATCACCTACTACTTCGAAGACGCAGAGGTGACGCTCAGGAGAAGCGATATCTAAAATCATTTTGACTTGGCGCTCCCCAGGCATCAGGCATACCCCTAGACCTTTTGGACTTTTAGAGCATAGGGGACGTTTAGGACATGTCTTACCAAAAGTGCAACTGGTAGTAGTGGATCAAGCAGCCACAAAGTTGAATCATAGAACGGGCCCTTGCGCGATTGCATGGTAAGTGTCAAAGGTTGGATTTGAAGTGAATCCCCTTCAAACCAAGCACCGCTGCTGTAGGCCTGAGGAGAGCGCAGGGAAAAAGCCAGAAATGTGACAGGCCTTTCTCGAAGCACAGCAGTGCCCAAGGCCTATTTGGCCATGAATTTCAATAGAAACCGCCTCAAACGCGGTTGCGGTGGACATGCATCCCCGCCGAATTCTGATGTCAACCAACTAATTAGTCCCCCCAGACAATTCAGACCCAAGCATTCCTCTATATTCATATTAGCGCAGCCAGAAGTCAACAAGTTTGGGCGCTGCCCGCATGTGATCAAAAGGCGTCTGCCCAAAACGAGCATTTGTCCACTTGCGCGTTTGTCAGGGCATCGCTTTTTACCATCAAGAGTTGAAGGATGTTCTTCAGTGGCTGTTGGGCTGTTTTGGTTCAAGGAAGCCCGCCAGGGTCCCCCTAAACTCAGCACTTCGGGTTTCCTTTCACTCGGGTGATGTTCTTAAGTTGGGAAATATTCCCCTACAGATGCACGAAACCAGCAAACAAAAGCACCAATTTGTAGAAGAATCTCTTGGGCGAAAAGGCCACCGTTAGCGGGGTCTATGTCCTTGTTTTCCCTTTGGGTGCCTTTCATTCTCCAAGACCAGAAACAAGTCTTTTTCAGGAGTCTAATTCCCACCTCGGCGAAAAAAACATAATTGGGGGTCATGGAATCAGCCGCCCCCCCCCCCCCCCCCGCCCCCCATGTTTGGCCAGTGCTGTAGGGCCTAAATCACGCAGAATGGGCTTGTGGCATTCTTGACGACCAGCCTCAGTCATTATCGTCAGAGAGCAATCTCCAGTTATTTGGTCGCTGACATTCGTGAGAACCCCTCAAGATGTAACCACTTCAAAAGGGTTACGCAAGGGATAACCTTTCTCCCAATAACATGGCACCTGACAGGCGTCCATTAAGGAGGAAATTTATCTTCCAGGTACCCTCCCACAGATGCTATGTTTGTTTATTGCTTTTCCATGTGGATAGCTTCACTTGAAAGGACCCCTGCTCAAGTTCAGAGCGTTGAGCCCATGTTGTTTTTACTGGGCTTCTAATGGACCAGAAAATTCTTCAGAAATCCTCTTCTTTGGGTATTTGGCCAATTCCTTTCGAAATTCTTGCGGCTAGCCGCCCAGGGGTGGTGTTTGCACTTATTTGATGTTTTGAGGTGAGTTTCTTTTGGTAGTTTCAGGGGTTGAATCCTCATTCCTTTCAACACTTGCTCTTTTCAAAAACCGGCAGAATTCCTGATTTTCCGGAGGTTTTCAGGAAAGAATGAATTTTGCAAAGAATGGGACATGTAGTCCCTAGAGTGGTGATGCATGTAGTCTGTCATACTCCCCTTTCTCAGCCATCGCAGTAAGAGACCCGAGCGAAAGGAGCTCCGGCACGGAGCCAAAGATCAAGTGGTACTCGGAGATGCCCTGCAGCTATGGGGAAAGTCGCCTCAGGGAGTTGGTGAAAGCAGCGGCTTTGTCCCAAAAAGCAGCAAGAGGAGTGCGGGGCGCTGGGGGGAGCTCATGAGTTCTTGTTGGATGCTTCTCAAAATGTAGCTGAAGGGAACCGCCATCTTGAGAACCCCGTTCCGTTAGGGGTGGTGATCCCAGGGGTTTGTATCCAAGAATCGCACATGGATGGTGTCCCCTTCGGGTGCTGTCCTTTCTGTTCGGCTGCAAGACTATTATGCTTCTTGCGAGATGATCAGATGGGCTGGGATGTCGTGTCGGGGGAAGCTTTAGGGGCTCCACATATTTTCAGAAAGCAGTGTCCCCAGCGCTGGGTTTTTGCTGGGCTGGGATCCTGCTGTATGATGGTTTCAGGGCTGGGACACTGCGCAGACCGCAAGCAGCCAACACATTGATGCATTGTGACCCCTGTCACTTGAGCAGAGAACCTTCTTATTGTCCACTAGCTACAAAACTCAAAACACCTCGGGAAAAACCAAAAAAAAAAAAAACAAAGCCCCTGGCAAAAGGTTTCCAGCCTGGCACTTGAACATTTCCCTGGGGGCTTTTTTTTTTTGTTGTGTTTTTTTTTTTGGTTTTTCCCGAGGTTTTTTGAGTTTTTCTTGCTTTTGTAGCTTTTCTCCAGGTTGTTTGTGTTTTTCCCGGTTTCCTTGAGTTTCTGTAGGTTGGACCGCCCTCACGCATTCTAGCTGCTTTTATCCCGCAGGCTCGCAGACAGCTTTCCTTCGTCTCATCTGCTTGCGCACGCCTGAAACAAATGTATTCGAATACCGGAAAAACCAACTATGAGCAACAGTGAATCTAGATTGAAGATTGTTTTTTGCCAAATGGATAAGAACACCTTTCAACAATTTGTGATGGATAATTTATTGAAGACCGACAATAAGCGCTTGATGTCTAACAAAAAAGCATAATTTAATGTATGGCAATTTTCGAAAGGAGTTCATCAAACAGAACAACAAGTATTAATTCAATATTATGTATTATAAACAACTTTCGTGTACTCATAAAGGCGATTACAAAAGTAGTATTTATGAACTTTGGACAACTGATCTAGATGAGAATGATGAAATAACAGAAAAACTAATTAAAACATAATAGGGAATGTCAATTTGGATTATTGGAAGAAGGAGGTGCTACCAGACATCAAGGCATTTTATTTACAAGTATTGGTGAGGCAATCCACTACCAAACTGAAGACCAAGGTAAACATCAGAGCTTACCCCATATAGAAAGTGAAGAAGATGATGAAGAAGGATAATATGAAGGCATCATATGTTGTATTTAATTTGAAGGATAAAGCAGAATTAAGAAATGTATAGGTATGTTAGGAACTACTTTTACAACATCATAAATGTTCAAATGAACCAAGACTTGTTCAAATCCAAATTAAATAATGCTAATGCATATAGTGTTAAAACCGATGCTTTTGTAATTGATACTTGCAATGTAGAAAAGGCAAGGCACCTAGTAGAATTTCATATTGACATAGGAGGCTGGAAGGTTTCAAAACAAGATGAAGAAATCAATTTACCTACAATAAAATATGAAGTTGCTAGAAATGAAATAGTAGAAATACCATTTTATGAAAGTAAAACTGTTGATATTATAGATGAATACGACATTGACAAAATAATAGAAGTGAGTGAGCCAAATAATCCTATGATGATTCGTGCGTGGTGCTTACCCGGGCACAGGCAAGAGGTGTATATGTCAAACAATTGTCGGTACGGGACATAAAGGAATTGTTTTTTGTCCTACTAATAAACTATTAAAAGCCGTTGAAGGTGAAGCAATGACAATTAACGAATTCTTCGGCATCAGTTATGGCGATGCTAAAGTAGAACCATTTGATTTCACAAATTATGATACAATAGTCTTTGATGAAGTTTGTTTTAGTGGGGCTTTTTAGGCTGCATATGCACACATAAGACCACATCACATTAGACACATTGCCGTCAAGCCATCCACCAAGCCTTCCTTCCCACAGAGTCCGTTTAGAGATACCTGTGTCCCCAGAAAGTGTTTTCCGATGGTTTTTTTCGTAATTTTTGCAAATTGGAAGAAACAAACAGTGGTTTTGTATATGGAAAACACACGCGCTGGGGACACTGCCCTCTCAATATTTTATGCACGACCAAGTCGGATGATTGGGGGAGGGGGTCTGAACATGACGTGAAGGTGGAGACTTGGGGGATCTCCTTTCTCGTGCAAAAAGTTTACGTCGGCACAAACTTCCCTGCTGCCCTCCTGTGAGACACGCAAACGCCTCGTGTCATGTTTGCATTTCAATTAAAGAATGGTCGCCGTGCTTCCTGCAAAAAGGGTCAGACACTGAACAGAAATAGAGGGAACACACTGTTTTTTTGGGGCTTTCCAATCCAAGGTGGACCTACGAGTGAAAACGGAGGCACTTGTCCTCAATATCCCTTTGTCAGAAAGGATGTCCCTTGCTCCAAGGAATTGGTTACCCCAGTTTGCAATGTGAAAGGTTCAACCACTTTTTGGACCAAAACTATTCCCAAGACCTTGGGAAGTCAACAGTGGTTGCGGGGGGGGGGGGTGGAGCAGCATCACGTGGGCCCTACATGTAAAACGTTCTGCTTGCCTGCAGTTATTGACAGCGCTGGGCACCTACTGTAAGACTGGCATGCAATTTCAACTGTTGGGAGAGCCTGGCCCTCGGTTGTCCAAGCTCAACCATTCTATCCTTCCATGTTTGCCTTGTTTTTGAACCTTCTTGAGTCAAGGTCCCCAAAGAGTAGTTTGTTGTTTCCAAGTCCTGCAGCAGAGCACCTTGTTGATCTTTTCAGTTGCAAGTTCGAAGGTGGTGTGCAGCTTGCTGGACCCCGTCGGCAACAACCTGGAGATTCGCCCGGAGGATAAGGAGCTGCTCCAGTGATGGCGGTGGGTTGAAGCTGAGCCGTGCTTCGCTGACTCGGCAACCGTGTAAAACTCGCGGTAGAACTCGGAGACGTGTTGCCTCGTGGCTGACCTCGCAAGACATCAAGATAGGAGAATAGCATTCAAGGTTTACCAATATGTACATATCTCCCTGCATCGCTCTTTTGAGACCAGGCGTCCTTTCATTTCAGGCTCAAAGGCCACGGCACATTGAAGTGTCAAGCAAGATGTTCAGTGGCACCCTCCCAATCTCTTTTTGTGTGACGAGTGCCGTAGTAAGAATGGTCAACCGCAAAAGCAATTGGTTCCTCTTCTTGCGAGCCAACTCTACAAGTCAGCATCCGTGAAGAAAGTGCTTGGGCTGCATGGGCTGGCGCTGGAAGTGTGGAAAAAGGCGCGTTTGCAGCGAGGGTGTGGCCAGTTGTTCCCTGTTTCCCGCGTCGTTCAATCTTCAATCAAACATCCTTATGCCTTCGTCAGATGGTAGTGGCTTCCCTTGTTGTAGTGGTGTAGTGGTGTCCCACTACGAATTGCAGATATTGATTTGGGATGCGCGCCCATTTCCTGGAATTTCCATTGTTTCCTGGTGCGTTCCCCGCTGAACACGGAATCAGCCCCAGGGGTTCCGTTTGCCCATGCAAGTTGGGAGTTCTTTTCGGTTCGGGTTTGCTACCTGGGCAGTTTCAAAGCAATCCTTAGTCCTTCGGTTGACTTGCGAGGGGTCCCGCTGTGTAGAAGATCATCGCAGTCGTCCTTTAAGAGCCTTATCGATTAGCATAGGCCTCCATGTTGAACAGCCCATCCTGAACATCTTGTGTTTGTTTGGGGCCCCAAAACCAAAAGGTTTCATTGCTCAGTTTGGGTTGGGAATCCTTTTTGGGTGATTTGAACACCAAGCTTCCATTTGCTTAAGGGAATATGTGTTAGGGTTTTAAAGGGAATCTACCACTACTGGACATATGTGTTTTTTTTGGGTGTGTGTGTGTGTTTTTTTCCCAGGGGGCTTAAGCAAATGGCACCGACTCATCGCACCTAGGCTGCGGGAGTCCATCAAAGAGCTGGAGTCGAGGCTGGGGCCATTGACCAACGAGGCGCGGAGAAGCGGAGTTGTCCGCCGAGCAGGTCTGCTCCGGGGTGGTGATTCTTGACTGCCATTGGGTTGTGGGTTTGGGTTGTGGGTTATAGCCATGGTAAGATATGGTAAGTGGGTTATAGCCTTGCTTACCTACCAAGTACCCTGCCCCTTCAACCCGTCCCATTTGGGGGGGTGTTCCCCTCCAAAAGTCTGACTCTCCACTAAAAGGGGACACCTCCCCAATTAATCAACCATGGGTTTACTATTCCGGGGTGAACACTATTTTGACAGTTTCTGGGGGTTATCTACTAAACCCCCAAAAAGTCCAACTTTTTGCAGGGGGGTCAACAGCAACCAAGTATTTGGATGGCTTCTAGGGGTTGTCGGGTGGTTTCCCTTTAACCCATCACTTCGGGGGAGACTTTAATCATGGTCAAAGAACGAGGCCAGCAGTTGGTCCGCTGAGCAGCTCCTCAACATCTGTCATGAGTGCTTGCGGCCGGTGCACAGAGAGATTCAACAGCCCTCAAAGGAAGCTCAGTTGCCCAAAGCCAACCGTTTAACCTGTTGTCCCATGTAGTTGGAAATGGCCCCCGGGGTTAACCTTTATTGGTTTTTCTTTGGGCAAGTGAGGATGCATTTGGGCCGGGGATCATCCAATAAAGCAGGTGATTCTTGGATGTATCCTTTCAGGAACTCTTTTTTGGAGCCCTGGCAAACCCGCAGATGAAGTAGGTGCGGATGTCCACCCTTTGGACTCAGTTTGCCTGGTCCGGGACGTTTAACACCAGGTTTTGCTTTTGTTTTGGGATCTCCAAAAATGGACCACGAGGATGTGCCCTTTTTGCCAGGGTTTGTTTAACTAACAACCCGTTGAGAAACAGGGGGGGCTTTGTTGAACAGGGGCTCCAGTTTTGTGGCATTAATTGGATTGGGACCCCCTATGGCGAACATAGTTGCAACTTGGAGTAAATAGTTGTTTTTTGTTTTTGTTTTTTTTTGTTCGCACTCCTCGAGAATCACATGCTGACACATGAAATATATTGCCTCTACTTTTGCTTGGTGGGCATCTTAAGATGCCGCAACATGGGGTCTAGATTTTGCACCACATCAGACATTCGAGGTTGGCATATCGATCCTCACAAATTGGCTGTTCGTAGGAAGGCCCTGGCATGCTCATTACCATTGCCACCAAGCCACGCAATGCTTTTAGCTTAGTTGTTCAACACCTGCCTTTAAACTGTTTTTTTGTTTTTCGCTTTCGATCGACTTAAGTAAAGGTCCCAAACAGTTAACCTCCCACAAGTTAACATGGAACCTGACAGGGGGTCCTGGAAGATCATTTTCCTTTTAAAGGAACCCCCTGTCAGAAAACCGCGTGCTAGCCGTGCGCTAGCTCCGCGTTAGTTGCAGTTGCCAAGCAAAACACTACGGCCCATGCCTTGTTGCAGGCAACATCCAACAACCACTTGCATGTGTCTAGGCTGTGTTGTAAGTCTGGTTGTTTTACAGTAACTGGGAGCCATACAGCATGTCTGCGAGCCTAGATAGTTCGTCCCAAAGAAGCTAAGACACGGCGCGCTAGTGTGCCTGTCAGTCACGGGCCCCCCATGGCCTGGCAATTTACGTGGGGCAACACTTTGACAACCGGCCAAATGAGTTAGGGGTGAGGAAAACGATTCGCGAGGCTGCGGGGATCATTCGCAAGCTCCGCGACATGCCCTTCGAGTTCACCACGGAGTCGGGCAAGTGATTGCCTCGGAGACCCCGGGGGGGTGCTCGGCATTTTGGGCGTGTTGTTTTTTGAGGCTTGCTATGTTTTTTTTTTGTTTTTTTTTTTTGGTGGGTTGGTTCAGGAGGGAAACCGCTCATTTTCAAGGTTCGCCGATTTGAGACGTTCCCTTAAACACCTACTAGCATTGCATTTATCATCTGTTTGGCGGAGGGCTCCCTTGAATGTCATTCATTTTTCCGAAGACCGCCGCCCCAAAGCCAAGAAAAGCGTCCCGCGTTCCCCCATGGTGATGGAGAGGGGCCCAGGATGATAAAACCCCTGGTTGATTATACATGGGGCGGAGGAGGACGCAATCCGTTTAAGAAAGAATCTGTGTGTTTCTAACCGGTGTTTTTTGTTCAAATAGTAACTTGTGGGCTCCCTTTGTTTTTGGGATGGTTTCAGCTTCCAGCGAGAATGCCTTTGATGGGCTGATGTTTCAAGCACTGATTTGTCCCCCAGGCTCCCTCGCCTGGGTTTTCCCCGTGTGGGTTCTGGGACCGAGGGCAGGTTGGGACCTCAGGCAGGGGAAACATCAGGGAAACCTACCCTGCCTCCCAACATGGCACCTGATAGGCCCATGGCAGTTTTTTTTGGTGGGTGCCCCTCTTTTGGCGTTTCCCTAAAAGAAGACACCCATCTTGGCGCCCCCCACAGATGCCTTCTGTTAGCGGGACTGAAGTTCGAGGGAAGCCCATGGGCACCGAATCCAGGCTCAGGGAGCAGGTGATTGCCAACATCCACCAAGCGCCTCGGCGAAATGGCCGGTGAGCAGAATCGACAGGTCCGAAAAGTTCAGCAAAGGATATCCCCACGACATTCCAGCACGGAATCCGACAAGACCAGCTATTTTTGGGTTCGTCCTCTCCTAGATGGAAATCGGAAAGGACGGGGAATTGCAGAGTAAATCCCCAGGTCTGTTCAAACTCGCCTAATCCTTCCAGATGTGGGTTGTGCTGTGTTGGTGTCCCATGGGTGCATGCCGAACCCAAGTCACGAGCCTCCAAGAGTTGAGTCACTAGCCATTAGCCGGTCAGGGGCAACCCTGTGGCCTTTTCTCCGAGGAGTTTGATACTCAAACCCGGGATGCACTGACCGAAGGTCTCTGATGAAAAGGCAACCAAAAGCCAAAAGGAGGCGGTTTACACCCCAGTTGCCCAGTGCGTTGCTAACCAAGAAAGGATGCCTTTTTCTCCCTGGCCACTGGGCATCTGTGATACAGGCTTGGTTTGTTTCCACATGTTTGAGCACGGCATGGGCCCAACCCTATGAACCGTGACACGCTCAGGAGTCCCAGTGGAAAGAGCGACTTGCTGCACCTCGGCATTGGCTCCATCGGATTCGCGCGAGCCATTTCAAGTGGGCCCGCAGGTGTTTGTTTAGGGCTGTATTTTTGGAGGGAACCCTTCAAAGGGTGGTGTCCCCTTGGTTTCGCTGAAGAACACAAACAGATACCCTCAAAAAGAGACACAGTTTGTACAGGTCGTCCTGGTTTCTGTTTTTTGTGGCGAACATCAAGTTGGATCTGGGCAAATCGGTTTACAAGCTCAGGGGTTCGGGGTAAACTGAGATTCTGTGAGGGTATCCCTGGTTGAGATGTGAAAAGGGCGCCCAAAGAGAAGCCAACTATTTAGGCCTCGCTCCTCGAGTTCCCGGAAATTTTAGAGTCACTTTTTGGGACGACCGTTTTATATATCTAGTGGTAAGACGTTGGGATTTTCTTTTTAGGCGGTTTCCCCATGGCCCCGGCACTGCGGATGTCCAGTTCAGTGATTTGTGTGAAGCCCAATTTGTGCAGTCCACCATAGGAACATCTAAACCAACCGTCAGGTTACTAGCTTATTATACGGTCCCTTGCGAACTCACCAGCCCAAGGGGTCCTCCGAAAGGAAATTCCTCCAACATGATCGCTTTTGGGGGAGTTCCATGTCAACCACCAGATACATTCAAGCTTTTTCCTGACCTCCAGTGCCCTTGTTCTCAACTGTTTGGTGCAGGGGGGGGGGGCATGAAACATGGATGACCATCAAAGAGGCCACGGCCACCGGAGGTCTGATTATGTCGCGAAAGGTAGCGAGAGCCAACCTGGAGTTCTTTCTTGCTTTAGCAAGTGTAGGGGCAGCAACTTCCCGACCGCTGCAATATATCAATTATTTCGGGGGGGGGGGGCGGCCCTTTGGCATGAAAAGATTGATCAGTAATTGACAACGGGACCCCGTTCTCAAGTTGTGGGATGCTGACCCACCTGGAAGCCAACAGGCACTGCCTGGATTTGTCTGCCGGGATTTGTCCGATTCCCTCAGCGGTCTCCTGCTTCGATCTTCGATCGCAACTTCTCAGATCCTCCGGGGTGAGAAGTTGCAGAACATCCGCTTCATCGCGATGCTGAGTAAGGCGCTTTCCTCTTGAGGCGGGGCGGGCGGCTTCAACGGGCGTTGGGGCCCCCGCCTGGCTGTTGGGCCAATACACCCCACCTGCCAAGGGAGCCAAGTGGCTGTGTTTTCCTGACTTGTTGCCAGCAAAAGCCGTCGCAGCCGGGGAATAAGCAGCCACTTGCGATCCAGCAAGGTAAAACAAAGGCAGGTGGCAGGTTGCAGGTTTTCAGAGTTCTTCGGTTAGGGTTAGGAACCCCTGGCCGAATTCACGAGTCCCGGTCAGCCGATTCAATTTCCATGTTCCTTTGCGACCTGCTGAAGATGCTGTTGTTTTTTTGTTGAGCATGGGGTCCCCAGACTTAAACAAGGTAAACCGAGCTCCCCATACTGAAGGCTCCGTTTACTAAGATGTGTTGTGCCACATTTTTGCAGGGTCTCGGTCGCCCCCCCCCCCCCCGGAAAAGGAAAGAACTTGAACCGAACAGTTGCCTGTTTCGGCACTGGCACGTGCCAAAATGCGGTCATTTGTCATGCCGCCAGGCCATTTTGAGCTGCTGGTGAGATGGGCTTTCTCAATTGAGCCTTACGCCCTTGAGTTAATAGTCCCGACATGACTTCGATGTTACAATGTGGTGGTTGGTTTCCCTGTGGCCTCCCTTCAAAAAGGGATTTCCCCCCCAAAAAAATGAACCTCCCCAGGTGCTAAAAGAGATTGTTTGAAGGCCCGCCCGTGGTGTGCAGCGCATCTGCGCTTGTAGCCCTAGGTTGCTGCTGTTGAAGACTGTTTTGAAAGGCCATGGTAGGAACGCCGCCCGTCAAGCTCCATGCCCGCTGGAAACAAGCACTCCAGAAGCTGGAGCTCGAAGCGCCGTTCAGGGCATTTGCTGGGTGACTTGACCTGTCACCTGAAGAGGGGTCTGGGCTATCAAGTCACCCCTCGCGCCCAAGGAACCAATTTCACAAACGTTGCAGTTGTGCGGGCCAGACTCTTGACCCGCAGACCCAAACTGCGGTCCTCGTAGGAGGCAGCTGGCTCGGCGGAAAAAGCGCCGAAGGGGGAGTGTTGTGCAACTAGTGTGATACAGATCGAGCGTAAGAGGGTCCAGGTACAGTTTGGTGTTGGGTTCAAAGGGGTCCAAGAGCCTAAGATGCCCTTGTTGTCTCCTGGCCACTGGGCATCTGAGGCTATTTGTTGTCACAAGTGGCTGGAACTGAAAGAACACGTCAGCTTCGTCAGGCGTCGGGGTCCGAACTTGGATTTGTCTTTGTCCGGGTTGTGTCTCCCTTCTTGGTTTGAACGCATGCATGAACTCCTGAGGTGGCAGGGAAGCTATGGGCTCCTTGGGAACATACCCGGTCCTAAATGGAAAGCAACAGGATGGCCCCCTAGTTTTGAAAAGCAGCCTCTACCCGAGTCATGTGACTTGGGGCGCCCCTGGGTGACCATTCCAGGCAATTCGGAGTAGTGATGGAACCCCCGCGCGCATCAACCGCATGTTTGTTTTATGTGGCCAATTCTAGGTTGTTTGTTTGCGTCCGGATGCTGCCTGTGCGGAAGGCATGCAAGGCTGTGATCCGGTTCCCATGTCCAGACTCATGCGCCGTAGGGTCTGACAGCATTATTATTGTTGTTCAATTCCGTCCACTTGTTTCATCAGGGGCGGATCAGCCTTCACTGTGACCTGGCTTTGTGAGGTTGTGCTTTACTCGAGGGCACGATGGCCGGCGGATCTTACGTGCAGTCGCCAGCTTCAATTGGGCCCAAGTGGACATGGGAAGCCATCCGCGCCTCCTATACGCGCAACCCACAGAACACTTATGGCTGGGTAAGGTTTCCCCCATTCAGCATGTCCACGCTCGATGTCGTGAACGCTGCCGCATTCTTGAAGATACCTTCCAAACACAAGGAATGATAAACCCGCACCAGGTGTTGGATCGAAACTATCCCAAGTAGATCCGCACTCCAGGGTTCAACCAAACCACACTTGGAGATCCTAGCGCGCAGTCAACCTTCCTACGCCGCGGGGGCAATTTGTTTCGTGCCTTCGCCATGCAGGAAGAAAGGCTTGCTGGGAACTGCGGAGGCTGTCACAAGTCTGGACCCCCCCTTCACCCTGGGCAAGGCGCACATGGCATCAGGGACCCGAATGGTGTCCCAACCCCCCACCCTACTTGCACAGCTGGGGATGACGGCAAGTCTCGCTGAGTGCCAAAGGTGGCGCCGGAGGCGCCACCTTTGGACCTTTGGACCTTTGGACCTTTGGACCTTTGGACCTTTGGACCTTTGGACCTTTGGACCTTTGAACCTTTGGGTTGAACCCGCTTTGGGTTCAAGTTTTCACGCGTCCAACGGAGGAACCTTTGGTTCGGTTGCTTGTGCAACTGGCCTTGGTGGCCGAGAAATAGAGGGAAGGGCAAAGGAACGAACCAATGAGAAGCACTTGTGATCACCCGGTACATGATCCCTCCTTTGGAGGGGTTTGGGGGAGGGTCCCTTGAATGTCAACCACAAGGCGGCTGGTCCCTACTTTCGTGCTGTTACGGAACCAGCCTCCCTAAGTGCAGAGTTCAATAGTTAGCGGTGGCTTCCAGGTACCATGGAAGTGAGCTTTCTTGCAAGGCTCCAACACGGTTTGCCAGAGTCCCTGGTTATGGCTGACAAATCACTGTTTGCGCCAATTCAATGTGAGCTTCCATATGGCAGGATTTGTGAATCGGACATATGCAGGTGTCTAGCACCTGCGGAGAATCATTTGGGTAGCATCGCAGAAAGCTTTGGGGTAGACCCCATTCAGGGTCACCCACATATAAGCAGCGTGTTTGATTTTCCGGCCCTTCCCTGGCCAAGTGCTGAAGGCTGTTTCACCTCGTTCTGAATGCACTTTACTTCACTGTTCTTGGCAAGTTGTTCGTTTTTTGTTTCTTTCGTTCTATTCATTTTTACTGGGAGGCTGCAAAAATAAAAGGAAGGAAAGAACAACGTGTCAGTTTTTGCACGGCCATACCAAGAGTTGTAGACGTCACAAAGACGTTTGACCCGAGCACGTCCCGGTCGCAGCTGTTTGGCTCAGCAGAAGCCGCTTGCCGCCACAAGCCGCCGCCTCTTCTTCAAAATGGCTCCCCTCCAGAGAGCCTTGCGGATCGGAACGGACGCCCGGTTGCAACCAGATTCCACGCTCCCCCCCCCTTTCCTGATTTTTTGTAAAATCAACTGGTTGCAAAATCAAAGTCCCGATGTTTGGTGTGGGCTTGAAACTTGATGTAAATCGACTGACAAAGAAGGGCGCCAGCTTCCACCCTCCCTTTTTGGCCCTTCTGAAGTGTGCCTCATCAGAATCAACCGACAATTCAGGGCTTCGTATAACATGCAGTTTTGCCATGAAAACAAGACCTCTTCCCCCAGACAGGAACGGACACCGCAAATTTTGTAGGGCAATGCCCAGCTAGATGCTGGGTGTGTGTTTTGCCACCCATAAAAAGAGAAGCCTTGCTTGTGTCCGCCGGTGGCCAACCCAAAGGACTGCAGCGGCATGGAGACGCCAGTCATGGCCTTGCAGGCTCTGACGCCTGGCTTGGGGGGGGGGGGGTTAGCTGTGCTTGCTCGAACATGGGTGGACACTTCCTCCTTCCTCTCAAAGCTGGGTTTTTGAACATTTCAAAGATGACGCATCAATCCTTTGCCTGTGGCTTCCGGTCCCACTAATTCGGATTGCGGATTTGCCGAGTGGAATGCCATTGGAGGTGTGGAAACTAAGGTGGCAGGGGACCAGGGATGGAATGGAGCTTGGCGAGTTGGTGAAGTACTAAAGTGAGGGCCCACTTGAATCTGCCTTTCTTTAATGCTACCCTTTTGGGGCTTGCTTCAAGGGACTTCAATGGGAATATCATCATTTTGTGGGTGCCATTTTTCCAGACACACCCACCTTATAATGAACTTGTAGGGATCCGAGAAAACTTCATGACCATGGTTTGTGGCTGCTGTGCTGGCAATATCTCGGGGATCATCCATACTTTCGGGATGTTCTCAGGGCTGATTAAGAAAAAACACACACAAGCCAGAGACAATGTAAAGGGACACCAGCAAGCTGAAGAGGCGAGGCTTGCTTGTCCCTGGGTACGGGTGACTGCTTGTCCTCAGCGGAGATCAACATGAGTTGTGTGCCCTGTTCCCACGGCCTGTACGTGCTTCAACTATGCAACCCTTAACTGGCAGCTCCAGTTTGCACCTATGCCACAGGGTCCAGCAGTCCACTTTTTTTGAAAACGAGGCGTGCTTACTACATTTGTTACATCTGGTCAAATGGCGGGGATCCCACCAAACAAGAAGGGACACATGGTGCTTTTGGACAAGGGGCTTGCCATGGCTTGCCTGTGGTCGGAAGTGCCGCACTGCCCCAACCAAGAGAATAGTCTATATATATATCTATATATGCTGCATCAACCACGCTCATAATCCTAGGTGCCCATCACCGGCCGTTCAGCGAAACATGCGCCTAACGTTCAGCTTCCGATTTCAGGTCCGCGAGGTCGTCCGCGCTTGTCTTGAGGAGAAACCAACTGGGATGGGTAGTTTTGCTCATTTTTTCGGGTCACTGGGCAACTGAGACATGTTTCCTTCCATGAGATTCCACATGCACATGCATAATATACATATATATATATATATATATACATATACATGTATTCCTGTATGCTTCCCGGACTCAGCTTGCCCAATTGAGAAGTTTGCCTTCGTTGTCCTGCTTTTGCCCTTTCAAGCAGGTGCACCAGGGTCCCTTATGTTGCTTGAACAGCAACCTCTGGGCCAACCCAACAACCGAGCTTCCCTTTGGCGCGCCCGCCCGTAGGTGAAGTCTAGGCAACCATGTTGACCCCCTTGTTGTTGCCTTGAGTGTAGTTATTTTGGAGCAGAAGCTTTCCCATCCTTTTCTCGCCCCCAACCCACCCCAAAAAAGCCGCCTCCTGAATTTCGCACCCCCCCTCCCCCCCCAACCCACCCCAGAAAGCCTCCAGAATTTCCGTGGCCTGAGGAAGGTGCACTTCGAGCACTCCTTCAGCTGCGACACCGAGGCCAGCTGCAAGGCGCAGATCTGCGCGAACTTCCCGGCGAAGGCGCGGGGGCGACTCGAGGCGAGTCGAGGCGAATCGAATTCCCCGACATCCGAAGTCGGGTTCCGAAGGGAAGGCCACAAAGAAGCCAAGCACGGTGGCTTGAACCCCCCGAAATCTGGGTTTTTCGAGAAAAAAAAGAGGGCCACAATTTCACTGTTATTGATGTTCTTGGCATGCTAGTTGGTTCTTTATGGTTCTTTACTTTGTTTTGTTCCGTTCATTTTTACCTGGGGGGCTGCAAAAAAACAACAACGTTTCTTTCTACCATGCCAAGAGTTGCAAAGCACGAAACCAACCACGGCCTCTTAGTTTTCCTTGAAGGAAGACTCAACACGTTGTCCGGAAGGGCAACAGTTAACATCACCGTGAACGAAGGCTAGTGGGGAACAATCCCAATGATACATAGGTGCCATCCGAAACCAACCATGTTGTTCATTTCGATTTGCGGGTTCCCCAAAGCATTGGTCAATGGTCAACCCTTGTTTTGGTGGATTCCCTGTGATTTGGTGGGTTAACTAGTTCATTTCATCGCATTCTTGGACTTGTCTGCCGCCTCCGCAAGTGAAGCATGAAATGCTTTGTGGGGGACAATTGCGGAATTCCCCCTCCGGACGTCCCTTTTTGCTTGCCCCCCTTTTTGGAGACTGGCTACTTCGAAGGTCAAGCAAGTTTGAGCTGTTATTCCATATTATTCCGTGGGATTTCTGAAAAAAAAAAACAATACACACAACAGAAAGGAACACGTTTGCATACTTGCCCAGTTCTGGAGAGTGATTCACGGAGAGGTGATCCAACAGTAGCACTGCCGCTAGGAGCGGGAGGGCATTTGCCCAATCTTGGCATTCTGCTTGTTGTCACATCATTGCGTGTCGTTTTTGTTTTTTGCACACGCGGGGTTCTTCCGACGTGCATTGTGATTCTTGTTTTTCTCGTTGCTGCGCTCTTGTTCCTCTTGTTGGTTTTGGTTTCTTCGCGTTTTGTTGGTGCGGGCTTCTCCCTAATTCGTGATTTGGCTTGATGGTTTGGTTAGGGGTTGTTTCCCATTTAATTACCCGCTACAAGAACCATCAAATCCGAATCCAAACCAATCCAAACCACCAACCTAGCGGGGTCTGAGTCAAGACCCAGGGCTTCAAATCCGAATCCAAACAACTCCAAAGCCGGAGAAACAATCCTGACAAGTTCCCTGCATCTGAGCAGTGAGAGCTTTAAGGCATTCAGAGTCTGTTCCCCAGATGTTTGGAGTCTTGGAGGTGTGGTACGATGACCTCCTGGCGCGGGACAACGAGTCGAAGCAGGTCCCGGCGGTGGACTTGTACGTCTGCGGCTTCCCCTGCCAGCCCTTCAGCTCCGCGGGCCTCCGGAAGGGCTTCAAGGAGATGGGGGGCGATGGGTTCCATGCGGGCCGCGAGTTTTTGTTTCTTTTCATTTTGGAAGGTTCAAGAGGCGTGCGATGGGTGCGAGAGATGCAGGGAATGAGACATGGGATTTTTTTGCCTATGAACTCTATTTCTTGTGGTTTCCTTTAAGGGGACTTAGTTCATTCCCTCGTTCACTAATGACTGCAATCCCCTTGTGGTTTCCTTTAAGGGGACCGGAGCCTGGGTTCATTCCCTCGTTTTCTACTGAGCACCAGCAAGACAAGAAACCACACGGAAAACGTGGGGCTCACCATGTTGAGACAAGCCCACATGTTGCACCTGCTATGTTTGTTCAACTGCTTGGGAGGGTTCTCGGCCCCCTAGTCAACGCATAGGGAGAGGTCTTGGTGCAGATCCAATTCGGCTGCAGTGTTTTGACAACTCCCATAGTTTTCTGTGCAAACGGATGGTACCAATCAAAAGCCGCTCCCATTTAACATGATCTATCGAGATACTTCGACCCTCTCAACCGAAGAGCCATCCTGTGGTTTCTGCTGCTTGCTGGGCGCCCCGATGCACTTGCCAAGCTTTTGCAGTAGCAAAGCAACTCCGGGGAAAAGGGATTGAACACGCGGAGCTGGCCTTTACGAGTATGATGAAGAAGTCAACCCACAGCTAAAGTTGCAATTTATTGGGTGGGCTCCATTGAAAGTGGCACTTGTCTCGGTTCAACAATGGGGAAATTGAGGGACCCCTGTTTGAAGCTTCCGAATGAACCATGGTACAAACAGAGCGAAGAAATCCTCTCTTTGGAACTTTCCAATATCCCGGGGGTATGGCATCCCCCAGGAAGCACTTGAACCCAGAGGTTGTGATTTCAGGGGATCCGGTCCTCGTTTCCGAAAGAAGGACCCGAAAGGTGAAAAACGAAAAGGACACAGGTGGTATGCACAAATTCCCACCTCCCCACCTAAATGATGTCCGCCAAAGGGTCCCGAATTAAAGTTGGAGATAAATCCCACCTACATGATGTCCACCGAAGGCTCCCAAATCTGAAATTCACGCCCATACTCTGAAAAACCAGCCGAAATAAACGCGATCAGGACGAGCGCGGCAATGTCTTCTTCGGGTGCGCCCGCTACATTGCGGCAAAGCTGCCACGGGTCTTCGTCCTGGAGAACGTCAAGGCCTGGCGTGGGTGGGGCCGAGTCCCGGAAAGAACATTCTTCCATTTGAGGAAGTCATTGTGTTTTGCCCTCTGTTGGTTTTTGACGGGAAAGTATCACTACTGGATATATTTTTCCCAGGGGGCAAAAACGCAAATGGAAGCATAGATTTGCCCCACGGTTGCCCCCCGCTTTGATGTCCGGGCGGATGCTTTTTGAAAGGCGTTTTAAAGGCCATGGGCGCGCTGGAGTACCATAAAGCCTGGGTTTGCTTGTGGGCAGCCATTTCGTTTAGATGCCTTCTTTCCACTACCCCAAGCGACTACTCCAAAGGGTGTGTGTGTGTGCTTGTGCATCCTGATGTGGATACATGCAGTGGTTTGCATTTGTTCATTCATTTATTCGTTGTGTAAGGATTTCACTGAGGAGGGCCAGGTACCAAACCCAGGAACTCTGTTCTAATTTTCCTTAAACTAGCCCTGAACGGGGGCTATCAAATCACGATGCTTGGAAAGCATGACATCCCTCTCCCAATTAATCAAGGTTCCCTCAAAAATAAGCAGCTGGCCTATCTGGGGGGAGAGTGAGCGCGGAAAGTGCGGTCCCCGCATGCCAGGGGCTTCTGAGCAACAAGGACAAGGCCAAGCGGCAGGCATTCAAGGTGATCGAGAAGACTCTCAAGGAGATTGGGGACCAGGCCATTTGTCAGCGTTGTTTCCTTAATGACAGATCAACCGAACCTGAAATGGTTTTTTTCCCCTTCAGTTGGTCGCCTGAGATTTGGATGGCACCTGGTTTCAGGTTGCTTCACCAGTGCTATCTTCATCAGGTTTTGAGGCCAGTTGCTATCTGTGCTGCAGGGATGGCGCGCGAATGTGCTTCTGGAGTCTTCATTTGCCTCAAAAACAAATCACAAGATCAAGTAAATCGGAATGTAATTAGCAGGGGCAATCGTATTTGGTTGCGATTGCTTGTTTTACGGGGGGGGGGGGGGCGCCACCACTTTTCCACCTGCGTTCGCCCTGCAGGCTTGGGTATGGTGAACGGAAATTCAAGGACCTCCAAGGGCAGGACTATTGGGGGGGGGGGGGCTATTTGTAAATGCGGCCCCTTCCCCATGGCCTCGCTTCAAGGCCCATGGCAAACTTGCAGTAGGTGGCTGCACAACTCTGAGGTGGACCCTTTGAACCTTTCCAGAACGGAATGGGAGGATTGAGGATCCTGGAAAGTAGATTTGCGGCTTCATAGTAGGGAACCTATCACCACTTGACACCCTTTCTCATTTTCTCCAGGTAAGAAAATGGCAACGGACGCTTCCTTGGCCCTTCTGCCATCCCGCCTCGGCGTCTCCGGAGGCCTACCACGTGGAGTTCCGGGTGATGGACACGCAGGACCACGGGGTGCCCCAGAGCCGGCCGCGGGTCTACATCGTGGGCATCCGCAAGGAGCGCGCGCGTGACATACGGGTATGGGTCAAAATTAAACCACCAGGGGACCGCAGGTTTTGGTCCACGTTTCCACTTACCAGGGTTCCATTTTGGGTACATAGTTTTGACCCACACCCATATGGGGCCCCTGATGTGACCTGCTCTCTGAGGGCTTGGAGCTTGGAAAAAGGGAAGGTCCGGGGAAAGTCACCTCACCCGAGTGGAAGGTGGTCAAAATGAGGGGCACTGGTTGGTATCCCGGTTAAAGGATAGTCACTTTTTGTTGGCGCCAGGGTCCAAACAGGGAAAAATAATGTTGACCACGCCCCAGATGCCAAATCGAAAGAGAGCTACACTTGGGTGACACTGGGGTTGTAATGAAAAATGACAATTTTAGACATCTTGGGGGGTTTGCTACTAGTACATATGACGAATCCGCAACAGTAAGATACCCCACAGGTTGGGCCAAGATGGCGCAACTCCTTAAGTCATCTCCTCGCTTCACTTGCGACCCGTGCCAGCTACATCCAGCTACTTTCACCCTTAGCGAGGCCAAACATATTCATTTGCAGGTCAGGAACCTCCAGTTCCAGGCATCTTTGGGGCACCTCATAGTTCCCTCGAGAGATGGTCTGGAAACCTCTCAAGGCCTTGGAATCAATTGTTGCCCCGGAATTTTGCCAATCCTTTGCCAGCTTTTCTCGCATCCCCAAAAAGAATGGGCGCGTTGTCCAAGTTGTGACTTCCTGTCTGGCACTGCTTATTTCATGGTGCTGTGAACGTTCTGTTCAAGTGTTTGTTCAGCTACGGGGCGTGCGCGTCTTTCAGCCTGGGAGAAACGATGCCCGCAGCAAACGATATTTTTCTTTGGCCATTTGGTGCTCTGGTCCCGTTCAACTGCCGCCACTCATTGCGTTGCAAGCCTTGTCCCCATCAGAAAGTTTCCCAGAATGGACATCAGAGAGTTCAGAAAGTTTCCGGGATGGATTCATTGCCAGACTTTACCAACCTCTTTGTTTCCTTCGTTTCCCTTTCAACCCGCAGCTCAGCAAGTTACTTTGCAGGTCTACGTCTCGCTAAGGATTTGTTGGCTTCGCTCGGCTTGTATTTAAAATTGCTAAGTTACCCACAGCAAATCCCACCTCTGTATCTTTGAGTCTCCTTCCGGTCATTCTGCGGACGAAATCCAATTCGCACCACCTAAGAAACCCTGGAATGATTCGATTCCCCTGTAAATACCAACAAATGTTTTGGTTTCAACCATGGTTTCAAAGTGGTGCGAAATGGATTTCGTCCACCCACAGTCGCTCGTCAAGCAACGCTCTCAGCTTAACGCCCGGCTTCTAGAAGAACAGAAGGTTTACTCGGGAGAAAAAGGGTAACAAAAACGCAGCAACCCCTTCAACGAGTCGCAGAGCAAGCCAGACTCATCCGCTACAAAAGCGCTCCCCTCGCAAATGGCCGGGTTGAAAACTGGGCGCCTGTCCCCTCGAAAGCCTAGATAAACAGCAGAATCTGGAATTTTAGTTTTCTGTACAGATTGGGGCCAAGCCATGTTGAGGCAGAATGAGTTCAACGCAAAATACGACAACACAAGGCAACCTTTTTCAGGTCAGCAGCCTTCGGCAAAGCTTGACGAATTTCAGGCGAACTGCCGGCAATATCAGGGGAAATGCTTTTCGCCATTCGGATCTCGGAGTCGAATTTTGTTGAATGCTCGAAATGGACGCCCAGCTCCTGTCCAAGGCAAAGAAGCTCCAGCGTCCCTGAAGAAGGGGCTTACATGTAAGTACCTTCTTTCAGAGTGGCCTGACAAGGGTTAAGGGGCCGTTGATTCGCGTGGCCCCTTTTTAGGCCAGAGCATCTCAGCCCTTTTGGGTCAGCCCCTTTGCACGGTTCTAGGTAGGCCGTTTCAATTCCCGGGTTTTGATGGACTCGTATGGGGGAGTTCCCCCGAGAACGTGCTGCCGGCGAGCTTCCAGCAGTTCGAGTGGCCGAAGCCTTTGCGGCGCATCTCCATCAACCAACTGCTGGAGAAGAAGACCAAGAAGGTGACCATGGAGGACTGCTCTAAGGATTTTTGGTAAAACTCCCTGGGATTGTACCCTTGGAACATGACCCAAGATAGCTCCAAGTAACACCAGCTTTTTCTGAACATATGCCTAAATGGGGGGGAGGAGTGTAATACAAAAAAAACAAACCCTTAGAACTGATAGCCTCAAGGTCACTATAGGCGCAAGGTGGGCCATAGGAGTGGCCCCTTGGGTCACCAGTCGCTATGACCAGTCGTGCGAAGAGGGCCCCAGAAATCCTGCAGTGCATGGTGTTCTTTCTTTGTTGCAGAAGGTTGTCCCATGAAGTGCCCTTTAAATGCAAACACCGAAGAAAGAACAGTTTCACTGCCCTCACTGCTCAAGAAGAAGCCCTCAAGAAAAAGCCCGCAGTTTGAATTTCCTTTTGGGCACAACCCTATTGAAATCGCTACGCGATCCGCCGACGCCAGCAGTTTACAGACAGTTCTCTATAAAAACAAAATGCTGGAAATGCAAGGGCACAAAATTGACCAAACACAGAAAATACCAGAGATGTCGGGAATGCTGGGAATGCAGCCGGCTGGCCACAAAAAAGTCAAAAAAAAACATGATTTTTTGATATTTCCAAAAATCAACAATCAAAAGCCGGTACTAGCAACCCCCCTCAAATACCCTAGAAATAGACTTCCAAAAGCACGATAATGCAGGGGATGTTTCGCAGTAACTGCTCCGTACAGGTGGGGAATTGCAAAAAAACTCATTTTTGCAAATTCAAACAGTTCCTCAACGTATCACTGCACTTGGCCCCACCCAGACCCCTAACAGGCCGATTCCAACATCGCTTGAAACAGCAAAACACCATTAGTATTTGCAAAAGTAATCCTGATGATGCTGGGGATGCAGATCCTGCGCGTCCGGGGACCCCCCCCTAGGCGAAACGCAAAATTACAGGGTTTTGGACACCCAGCACACCATGCCCAAAAAATGGCAGCCCCAAAAGCCTTCGGCTTTGATAAGAGATCCGAAGGAAGACCAAGTTGCGGACTGCCATCTACACGCTCGACTGGCGTCGGCGGATTTGGGAATTAGTGGATTCCACCACCCTCAGATTTCCATCCCCTAGCATAGGGACGAGCCTCCTGACTCTCAGTCTTAGAGGGATCAGGACTGACACTGGGTTGAGTGGATCACCCCTCTCATTTCTTTCGGGTTTTTGCGGGAAACCTCCAGGAACACACCAGCCAAGTGATGAGGGAATCACAGAATCGAAGCAGTCAAAAACCCAGACCGGGGCCCCCTGCACCGGAGGGGGGGAGATGGCCAGGACTTGCCTTCCAGGAGCAGCCAGACGGTCTTCAGGAGGGGGTTGTCTCATGCCTTGGGATCCAAAAGATCCACACCTGAGATTTTTGGGGAAGCTCCTTTTTTCACGGACTTGAATCTCCAGATTGCCCTGATCTCTTTGAAGGGAATGGTCTCGAAGGCGACGATCGCCCCTCCCGATGTGACCCCTGACTGGTACACGGACAATTTTCTCGTTGGCACGTAGATGGTGTTTTTTGTTCTTGGTTTCCCATCGAACGTTCAACGGCGATCGATTTTTTGCTCCTGCGGCGGGAAGCATGGTGACAAAACCGGGCGGGCGGGGGAGGGGGGGGCAGCGGACAAAAACGGCCTCTTGGGATCCACAAATGTGAAAAAGAGTGCCCCGAGAGGATTCCATCTCCAGCATGTATTGGTGTCCTTCTACTGTTTCGCCGACCCCCTCAACGAAATGTGTTCAGGAAACTGAAGAAGGTGGGTCTCGCCTTTGTTTGGCACTAGAGGGGGCTATAAAGGGGGCTATAAAGGGGGCTATAAAGCTCATGTGTTTCTTTCATGGGTTCACAACCCCGTTGAAAAGCAGACCGAGGTGGCCATGTAGGTTGGCGAAAGTGACGGTGGCTCTTTCTGTGGCAGCCCTTTTCAACAAAATTAGGAAGCTGGGCGGTGGTTGAAGCAGCTTTGTTGGCTTTTTGCTTGGATGTTAGGACTTTAGCTTTTTGCCAACAAATTGGTTTTCCATTAAACCACTAAAAGTTGTCAACTTTTAGCAGGGGAGCAGAAAACAACCCAGAGCAGCGGGTGTTCGAGACAGGGTATTTGTTCATGCCAGGCTCACTTTACCACACTTCTGTGAGGAACACGAGCCGGTGGCTGCGACGCCTGCAGCAGGCCGGCAAGGCCGGCCGGGCTGGCAAATGGCAGACTCCTCCAAGTCTCATTTTGTTCTTCGTGAGTTGGATCTATGAGAAGACTGAGCTAAAGAAACTCAAGGGAGGGGTTGGTAGACCACAGCGCAGAGTGGGGACGAGTTTGCCCAAGAGGCTTGTGCTTTGTCGAGAAAAGTGGAACCGTCCAGGTGGGCAAGATCCTGCATCAGCTGGGATGGACAAAGCCCTCCACCAGAAACTCCGGGATCCGATGTTGAACTCTCGAGGACCCGCTCAACAACACCTTCATCCTGGACATCGATGCAAGCACGCCGCGCAGCACTGCCATGCGGGACCCCCTGTTTTGGTTGTGCTTGTTCGTTTCGTTTGGTGTGGCTGGTTTGGTTTTGTTTGGTTTGTTGGTGGGTTGCCTTGGTTTATTTGGATTGTTTGGTCGACGGTGAGTGTTGCTTTGGTTTGTTGCTGGTTTGAGGGCTGGGTTTGGTTGGTTGGTTGGTTTGTGGATTGGTTTGTTAGTTTGCTTGCTTGCTTGGTGCAAGGGAGATGCCTCGAGGCTTCCAGTTGCCAAAGGAATGCAAGTTACCACCGAGGTCGTTCAAGTGCTGCTTGCTTTTCCCGGTGGTGGCTGGAAATACCGGGGTTCTGTCTTGCTTTTCCCTGACGGGAACCGATGCAGGGACGCGTCGCAAACGTCGACATAGGTCTCACTTGTCTCACTTCCTGATCTCCTGGACTTGATTCAAGCCTCTTGGGAAGACGGTTTTAGCGGAATGCAAAAGTTCCGACTTGTTTCTTTTTGCCAATCCACGCAAGAAAATGAGTTCTAATGGTTTGCCTTTCTGGTTTGCATCCATGTCCCTTGGCACTAGCAGAGCAACTGGCTCCTCGCAGAGGGCCAGATCCAGGTGGCCGAAGATGGACTCAACCCTTCCTCCAACTAAGGCCATTCATGAAGTGATTTTGTTGGTTAATGTTGGGGAGCTAGGCAGGAAGTTGAATCCTATGACCAATCACCGCTTGACCAAACGAGCCAAGGATATTTGGAGCCTGCCCCCCTAACGAACCTTTTTGCAATGAGTCTCACAGGAACAACCATCACTTCCCTGTTCTTGGCAAGTTGTCGGCCTTTTGGTTCTCTGCATTTTTCGTATGGGGGCTGCAAAACCCGTCAGTTTGTTGCAAGCCCATACCAAGGGTTGTGAAGATCTCTTTTGCGGGCCCCCATTTTTTAATAGGTTACTTAACCCCCCCCCCCGGTCCCCCCTCTCCCCCAACTGGAGTTGTTAGTGGCTTCAGGTCCAAAAAGTGTCCCCCCCCAACTGGAGTCGCGAGTGGTTCAGGTCCAAAATGAAGAAACCCATTCATTCTTTAATTTTAGGCTTAGTAAGCCACGTGTCTGACTCGCCCTTCCAGGACCGGTGCCCCTGCATGACCAAGAGCCGCGCCAACGGATTCTGGGTCTCCTCCCGGGGCCGACGCATGACCATCAAGGAGATGCTCCGGTGCCAGGCGCACCATCAAACAAAAACAAAGCGGCGCAGGGGGGTGGGATGTTTTTGTGTTTTGGGCGGGTTTTGGTGGCGTCCTCCCACCAGTTATATGCGAAATTTGCCGTGGGGGTACTTTTTGAAATGAAAATCTGACATGATCAGAGAGAAACATGCGTGTGCAATCATTCTGGAAGCCATGCTTCCATTTGCTGACATGAACGTTTGTATTTTCCCCTGTTGCCATTAAAGGACATCTATCATAGGGGTCTGTTGGCGTGTTTATCGTTTGTTGGTTTCTATCCTTTCTTGGCGACAAATGGGACTGAAGTACGTGCGTTTGCTTATCACGGTTTTGTGTTGCATTTGGATGTTCTGTGTGAGGTGTGTGTGTGTGTGTTTTCGGTGGGGGATCGCACATTGCTAAGGGTATCCAAGACAAGTGTTGCCGGCAGTTTTCTTGGCAAGTGGGACAGCCGCTGTAAATGCCTCGCTTGAATTGCCCCTCTAGCAATTAACATGGAACCTGACGGGGGGTCTGGGAAGACAATTTCCCCTGTCATGTTCCATGTCAATTGGTGGGAGTCTCGTTTAGTGCTTCTGATCGAGCCTTTAGCTTTTTGACTTTGGGCATCGGCTGCTGGAAAAGCCTCACATTTACAGCACCTCATTCTGTCAGGTACCCCGGTACCCATTTTTGGATTAACTTGGAGATTTGAACCTCGGCTCCATCCCCCGTTCAAACAAAGCCAAGGCGCGAATTGGAGGTCAGGTGATTCTTTCTTTCGGGGGATGCGGGGTTCCTGAAACGCCCCGTTCTGTGATAATGTGTAGAAATTGCGACCTAGCAATCCCACCGCCATGGAACCGTCCCAAGTTGTGTCTTTTGGGATAAAGTTATGCTTTTACTCGGGTAGTTCTGAGTATGGATTCCGCTTTGCTGAGTGCAGTCCCTGTCAGATGCTGTCCATACACGTTTCCCTCAGTGGCTTCAAGAGAAATCAAGGCATGGAGGGGGCTTAGCTCCACTTTTTTCGCGACCCGAGGGATGGGGAGGAGCAATTTGAAAGCGGGGTCACATCAGCTTGTTCCAGCCTTTTGCAACATGCTTCACGGGGTTCTTCTATGTGCTGCTGTGGGACCGCAACAAGGCGTGCTCTTTGAAAGCAAACACGCCAGGCATTGCTCACAAGATCTCTTTACATTTCCACTTTTGGCATTTAAGGTGTGCTTCCTTTTATGGGCCGGGGGATGTTTAAACAGACATGTTCCCGCAAATTAACATGGCACCAAAGGAGATGCTCGCCCCCAAAGCAGGTCCCTATGGAACATGTTGTTTTGTTTAACGGTTTGTTGCATCACTCTGCAGGATTTTATAGGGGCCTCGATTGAAGCATGCCCTTAGGTTGGAACTGATTGTATGGAGCCCCTTGGGAATCAATCTTTTGGCTGGAAGGGGGGGGACCAAAAGGACACCCTCTTGAAACAAGTATGTTTTCGGGCATGGCACAACTTCAAAGAGTTTCCTTTTGGGTTCGTGGTTTCAGGGACATGGCGGGAACCCTTTTTGAACCGCAAAGCTTCTGGGGAAGCTGCTCAAACGAACATGCGCCTAAAAAGAATCACCTGCCTTTTGGTCAGGGCATGGAGCTTTGCTTCAAGCAGGCCTGGCAAGTCGCATGCTTCTGACCGCACTGCTTCTGACCGCACTGGAGACATGCGTGCTCATGGCGTACTCCAAGTGGTGGAGCCTCGAGAAGAGGGTAGTTCATGTTGGGAGGAATGCGTTGCAGTGCAAAATGCCTGTAAACATGCAGACCTGGAATTTCAGCTTAAGCAAAGAGAGTGCAAGCAGCTATCCCCCTCTCAAGCTTGGCATGGTTCACTGTGAATTTCAAGGGCTGGTTCTCAGTTCTCCTCGCCCCTTTGTAGAAGCCACCCAATTCCCTCGGGGTGTTTGCCATGCAAATGCTCCTGAAGGCTTGCATATTGAGCATGTTCAGAAAAACGTCGGGACTCGAAGCACCCTGTGTGCGTCGCCAGATTTTCCGCGGGCGCTTGTTGCAATACATTGCTCCGCCAAGTCCCTTGGAGCCAGGGCTTGCCTCCCAAGGAGGCCTTTGGTTTGCGCTGCGCCCCCATGCTATGAAGTGCAGTCATTCTGATGCACGGCTCGGTCGGGAGACACGATTTTCTAGGGCCCAGGAAGCGGTTTAATTGCCCGAGGTTCACAGGAATCTCTTTCACAAGTTGGTGTGGAAGGACCAGAACCACTTTATGTTTTTGCCGGAGGGGGCTGGGGTGGGGGAATGCTATGTGTAGTTTATTTTTGCTATTATTATTATTTTTGTTATTATTATTTTTTATTTAATTGTTTTTTATTTATTTTTTTAATTATTTTTGTGTGACATGGACCAGGCATTTATGAATCCTGGGTCAGCATCAGCCGACTCCTTTCCTCACTCCCTGAGTTCATGGACTTTGTTTTTTTGGAGCCAGTCCACTCAGGAAGCGGGTTTCGGACCAGGTGCCAACCAAAGGGCCAAACGAGTGGAAGCCCTCTTGGAAAGTCTTGTGCTTAAAGGCCCAGAATCTTTAACTTACCCAACGGGACACCAACAGGGGCTGGTTTTTCCTCAACAGCTGAAATCTATGGGGTCTCTGCCCAGAGATCGGCTCGATAAGGGCTGGTTTGGGGGTTTGGCCTTCAGGGAGGTTTAAATCGCAGATTCGGTTCCAGGGGGTCCGGGCTGTTGGGGATACTACCTGGTGCCTGGTGTGTTTTGTTCTTTTTCTTTGCGTCAGGTGGTGAGCAATCGGGTGCTGGGCGCTCACATTGGCAACGCGACCCTTGGATCCGATGTTTTGAATGCGGCCAAAGGAAGACTGGTTCGGGGTTGGCGAAAGGGTGGGTATTGTTGACCCCTATATTATTCAAGCCCAATTTACTAATAGCGGGGGTGGGGGTGGTTTTGGCCTCTCCAACAGTGGTCTGATTCCATCCGCTCAACTCAGGGAAAAGCACCCCCCCTATCAATAAGCTGGGTTTGATTAATATGACTTAATATGGGGCCAACAGGACCCGAGATTTTGGGCAAGTCTCTTTTTTTGTGGTTTACACATCACCTTGCGGGGTCGCTTTGGGGGGGGGGGGAGGGTGATGTAGAGTGGACATACAACACAGGAACCCTGTAGAATGCAATGCCAGTCAGTTTGCGCTTATATGTCCTCCAACGCTTGCAAATGCCCAAGCAAGTGGATGTTTGCTTAGAGTGCCGTTTTGGGGGGAATGTCCTTATATGTTCTTTATTTGTGATGTGAACATCGACTTTTGGGCCATCTCAGAATGGGTTTCAATGGATGATGTTAGGGGACAAAAACTGAAATCTGCGGGGAGTTCAGAAGCGGCAGAATGGTTGCCTGTGGGGATGCAGTGCCTCGTTGGCCCTACTTCCTTTTAATCATCATCCCAGTTGAAATGCACTAGTTGGCCACATGTTAGTCCTTTTGGGCCGCCCTGTTGGACAAATGGCCAGCCACCAACCTTGTCCCTAGCTTTCAATCACCCTCATTGGCCATTCTTATTGACTCCAATTCCCCCCCAAAAAAGCACCCTGCCAGGCCGTTCTCATTGACTGCTTTAAGCCACTGACTGGCACCAGAGAGAGCGAGAGAGAGAGAGAGAGAGATGGCCGAGGATGTCCCAAAACATCCTGGAGCGCATCTTCATTAAGTTGCTGCCCTTGGCGGGACTGGTGCCATCTGGCCAGGCGAGGGACCTCTTTGTCAGATGGTTTCTACCCCGCCAAACCACGTGGTTTCTACCGCGCCAAACCACGGTTTGCGTGGCGTTTTGCCGTGTATCCCGTAGAACCTTTAGGGTGATTTGGGGTAGTGGGGGCCATATGGTCAATTTGGGAGGACGTGAGGGGACTCAATTAGCTTCCCAGCGAAAAAGGACAACAGGTACTCCCTGATTGTCCAATGTTCTTAGGGTAACTGCATGTCTCCATCGTAGCTCATATGAGCCGACCGTGTCGGTGTTTGGAGGCTCCTATCTTTGTTTGTTGTAAAGGTGGCTCCAGTTGTATATTTGTTGACTTTATTTACTTACTTCCCCAGTGACAGAACTTTATACTTTTGAGGGAATTGCATCGATGATATGTTTGTTTGAGACAGTGAGTCAGTTGGGAAGAACGGTATGTGAGCGTTTTGATCCAAGTCGACTTTGACCACTCGGATCTTTTTTGGAGGTCGACTCAGCCAGCATTTCGGAGGGATCTCTCTTTGGGTTGTTCTTGTTTTTGTTTTTTGTTTTGGGGGGGGGGAGGTCCATGGGTGTGACGCAGAAACGATGTGTAAACAGACCCATGTGGATGGCAAAGCAGCTAGTTCTAAGTAGACAGGAGGGTTGCTCCCAGCCACGAGTTGACCAAGCCAAACGGGGTAGAGAGATGTCGTGTCATTCTTTAGGTTCCCCTTTGGGTTTTCCCTTTCGAACAGGGACACCCAAAGAAGTGACTAACCTGCCCCCCAAACCTTACTTGCTGAGTGGATGGGCCAACAAAAGTCAAACTTGCTACTTACGACTAGAATGGCCGCCTTCCATATAAAATCCATGAAGCCGTTTTCCCATTCGGAGACAAATCCAACATTGACCTTGGTCATACATGGCTCACTGCCCGGCCCCGATGACTTCCGGTTGTGTCCAAGTGGCCGGGACCCCCCACATGTTGCTGGTGTTCCTTTGGGTTCCCCCGTGGGAACCCCCCAAAAAACGCCTCACAATCATGTCCCGGAACCTCCCGCCCCCAGACCTGGACCCGCCCACCCCCCCCCTCCCCCGACCGCAGGCTTTGGTGGACCGCTGGGCCAAGCGCGCGAAGGAGATGCCGGCCTCCAAGGAGGACAAGAACTTGAAGAAGCTGGGCACATAACTCGGCTCCGTCCATTTGTTGAGACAATTGAAAGTACGTGTTTTTTTGTTTGGAGGGGGGGGGGGAAATGTTTTTCAAAATAGTGGTTTTCCTGTGGGCTTCCCAATGAAACCTGTCAAACAATGGCTTTCTTCCCGGGAATGAAACACATTAAAAAAAGGGGGTACCCTCAAAAAGCCACCCATCTGGTTGGTTCCCACTGGTTGGTTTTTCAAGGAATACATCACAAGTGTTTCCCCTGGGGTTACAAGGGGATCGTTCCCTGGAACACGCCGCTAGCCCCTGCTCACCTGGGAACCTGCCCTCCCCTCCCCACGAAGTCCTGACACATCCAAGGTGAAAGTCCAGTCGGTCAGACCAAGGGTGGGGATGTCAGAAAGTGGAGGCGTAACGTCTGTGCAACCTCAGGTTTTGGGTTAGGGGTGCCTGCCAAGTTGACTCTAGTGGTGCGTCAGGATGCTTTGGCTTTGGGTCCTGGTGGCTGTTCTGCTTGTGGCTCAAGGGATTCTGTGTTTGTGCTGTGTGAGCCCTTGGTCCTGTGCGGAATGCGAATTTGGCCAGGGTAGATCGCAGAAGGATTCCAAGGAACGGAATGGAGGGTATGTTCCGAGGCGGGCGGATAGCGAGCCGGCGTTCTGCTGCTTTTTGTTGCATGATTTGCTCAGGTGTTTCTGCATCCTGGCCCCCGAATCTTAGGGTGCCCTCGCGAAAAGGAACACATGCACATCTTGAGCCGGTGTTCCTTTTGGCTTCCCTCTAACCCCCCCCCCCAAAAAAAAAAAAAAGAGAGGAGAAAAACAAGAAAAGAGAAAAAGTTGCACACACAAATTAGCGCCTGGCTTTGTCAGAGTGGGCCAAGAATGCTCCGAATTGGGGACCCGCGGGATAGCACTGCTCGTCTCAGGAAGCTCATGGAGCCCCGCACGGCCAAGGAGAAAGAGGAGGCGCGACAGGCGAAGAGGACCGAGGTGTTCGTGTTCGAAACTCCGATGCCAGGTGGGTCTGTGAGTCTCAAAAGGGGGAGAAAGGCCCTTTCTTCACTGTTCTTGGAGTAAGTTGTTTGTTGGTTTATGGTTCTGTTCCTTTTTAGGTTGGGCTGGAAAGAAGACAACAGTTTCTTGGGAGGTCTGGGTATGGGTTGTGAAGCTTGTGTGGATGGTTTCAGGAACCCCCCACCCCCCCACCCCCCGGTTTTTGAGCATCCCCAAATTGCAGAAACTTACTTGCGGACAGGGGAGTAGTGCCATCTATTTTCTATACTTCTTTCACCCTAGTGCAGTCTCAGATTCGTCCAGAGCACCCTGCTGGTCAAAGCAACCCCCAAGATCATTTGCTTTCCTGGGTCGCGCAAACATGGCTGCGTTCCACTTAGAGCTGGTGAGGGTACCTACCACACCTCTGAATCCAATCAACCAACGTGCCCTGCATGTGGTACTTCTCACGTTGTCGGATACACTGACGGACCCTCCTCCCTCAACCTTTGTGGAAGATGAATGATGATGAAGGCAACTGCAATGATCCTGTTATTCCCCTTTCTGGTGGTTACATGTTTATTGTTGATAGGCAAGATGGAACGAGCTCTGGCTACCAGCTCACCCAGAAATTCACATGGAACCCGAAAAGGGGCTCAACTGAAGAATCCTCTTTGACTTGCTCGATTCGAAGCGGCCCAAAGCACAGAACACGGCACTAAACCCATGACCCTCTTGAAAAGCAGGTGGTAGTCTTCCACCCTGTCCGCTTCCATTGCTAGAAGAGGGTTATCTTGGTGCTCAGCAGGGAATGAGGGAAGGTGCTCAGCAAACAATGAGGGAATGAACCGTAAGGCAGCTACATCGGACAACGGTTTCTCTCGGGCTCATTCCCTGCGTCTCTCAAGCACCGGTCGCACGGTGCTGCAAGGAGGTCGACCCTGCGGAAGGCCAAGGCCCGCGCCGCCGAGGCCGAGGCCAAGGCCCAGCGGGCCAAGAGCAAGGCCTCCAGCAAGCTGCTTGATGAGAAAAGAGGAACGTGCGACAGCGCGACCTCGAGTTTTTTGTTTTTTTTGGTGGCTTTGCGGACGTGATTATTGATTCTTTGTCTTTTTCTGTCTTCTTGTGCTAACAGTTCCGTCTTTTCAAAGTTTGGTCATGTTTGGTCTTGGTCGTTCCCCTCAAAGTGGTGGAACTTTGTGATTGCGTTGCCGGTTTGTCCTGTTTGGTTTATGGCGATGGGACGCCGTTTTTTGTTTGCTTGTGTTGCTTTGTTCTCCCCGCGATCCTTGACTTGTTTTTTTCCCGTTTTGTTTGCTGTGTTTCTTTTGCCATGGTCCCCAACCGCCGGCCTTGCATGGCCAGCTGGAAGTAGGGAAACATCTTTCTTTGCAGGTCCTTCAGGCCCAGTCACCTCTTGCATTCTTTAGTTGCCTTAGCTGCAAGTCAGACCATGTGTTCAAATGATGTCCCCTTCTCTCACCCCTTCAGCTGACATGGAACTCTCTGAGGCTAGGATCCCCCCCCTTCCAGGGCAACGGTGGCATTTTGTTTGCGGGTCCTCAGGTCGCGAGTGAGGCCAGCCAGGGGCCAGCCGCCCATGAAGGCCATGAAGCGTCAACGTCGCGCCTAGGACGGCGTCGTTTGGTAGCTGGTAGCTGGTAGCTCGTTAGTGAGGCGCTTGCGAAGAGTGAAGTTGAAGGGAGGACCTGGGATCTTGGTTGATGGTTTGCTCATGTTTAGGTTAGCTTTGTGTTTTGCGATGAGCATCAATCAATGTTGTGTTCGGGCCAAAAGCTGAGGGTTCCAGCACCAGGTTGGGCTTGGGGTTCTTCAGCTTTTGGCAAGCTTTCAGGAAAGCAAAGGTAGCGATCCTGCTGCTTGGCAGGAATGTTGGCTTTAGGGTTTGGTTTGCTTTGTGTGAACTCAAGTTAGGATGTCCCTGAAGTGATGACTGTAGCCAAATCCGAGGTTACATAGTTGCATTACCGTTGTAGGAAAGGTCAAGCATTGCAATTACATGTTTCCGCTTCAAGGGGTTTTCAGACCTATCTGGTAGAATATTTGTATGGGACATCATGTTTCACCCCTGGCAAAGAACGGGCTCACTTAACTTGACAGACAGTTGTTTGAGCGCATGGTCGCCTTCACTATCGACTTTGCGGTGCCGGCGCGGTGGGTGGCGAAGACAACCGCCGGCCGAGTTGTTCCTTGTCCCTTGCCAAGAAGCACGGAACCCAACAAGGGGCTCTTTAACAGGTGGTCTTCCGAACTCTCCTGTCTTCATGCGTTTTACGCAAGAGGGTAAGCAGGCTGAAAAAAGGGTAGCCGCCTTGTTGGGTTCCACATTTTATTCTGCAGGGGGGTGAGGGAGCGAGGGAGCCAGGTTCCCCATGCCATAGGGGGTCAGGACAGTGCGCAGCCGGGGGTCTTAGTGAGGCTCAAGTCAGAGCAAACAGCTTTACTAGGGGGTGGGGGGGTGGGGGTTTGGCTTCGTTTTTGGGTACTCCATGTTGATTTCAAGACGACATGTTCGAAGTTCCTTTCAGGATGCCCAGATATTTTGTCGAAGCCTCACTAAGCATGTGCCATCACTGTCTGCTGCCTCCGCTGTTTTTTGCGGGGCCTGCGAAGAATCGATTCCACGAGCTGAATAAGCTCAGGTCTGAAACGGGGATCAGTCACGAAGCTCTCCGCGGAGGGCTGAATAACTTAGACTCCTTGCGACTCGCAGGAGGTGAATGGACCTACTCAGTCGGCTTGAAAGGGCGCTTGGGTCGAAAAAGCCTGGCTTGCGCGTGCTGTGCGACGGGGTGCATTTTTGACTGATCGTATGCTGGTTTCAGGCTTGTTGGATCGGCTCACTTGGCGGACTTTTTTGCGTTTCATTGCAATTAGGTCAGGTTCCCTTGAATTGGTGGCTTGGATGGTTTGCGGATCTGAACCACGGGTTCTTGTAGACGGTAATTGAATGGGAAGCCACCCCCTATCTGGGACCCAGCGCAATACAATCACAAACTAGAGGGAAGCTGTCTGTTTGTGTTGGATCGATGAGATTGAGGTCCCTTGGGGTGTTCCATTAGGGCGTGGTTTTCCCGCATTTTCCCGCAAACAAAGGGCCCACACGCTGAGTTGGTCAAACCCAATTTGTTTTGTGTGGGCCTTCGCTCGGGGCATCATAACGAATCGATATGCGGTTACAACCTGGGACCAGTAGATGATAGTGACACTCTTGGTGCCGACCATGTTCTTGTTTTCCCTGAACCAAGCCGCACATGGCTGGACGACCTCTACTTAGACCCGCAATTTACCACCTGGGGAGCTTCATCTTCCTTCGAACGTCAAAAAAGGAAACGGGTTCTAAGTTCTAAGAAGCGTTGTTGGGCGGGGGATGGTGTTGTTTCCCACAAGTTGACACCCTTACCTGGAAGGTGGCAATCCCCTGCCAAGCCGTGACTCCAAACCACCAGGTTTGCACTGTCGAGGCTGGCCGGGGGCTTCGCCGCGTTTTTTTTCCTTTTTTTTGGGGGGGGGGTCCATTGGGGATGGCGGATTTTCCCCCAACGGCAGCTAGGGATGCCAGCTGGGTCATTGGTTCGCCGCATCTTAAGCAAATCGGGGACCCTCTGAGCGACAACTCGGGCATCTGCACCCCCCCCCCCCGCCGCCCACTTTGCAATCACAGAGTTTCGGGGCGGTTTGTTCATGCTCTGGTGAGGTGTTTGCCCGGAACAGGGGGTAATTACCCCAGAACTGGCAAGCAAGGTTTTACTCGTGATCCTTGTGGTTTCACGCCAGTTCTTATCCTGACCATCTGAACCTTGCAGGTTGGTCTTGGTGGTGGGCGAGATGTCATCGTCATTGCGACCAATCTTGACGGTTGAATACTTTGGTTTGCCTATGAACCTCCGCTTTACTTGTGACTTGTAGAGTCATAGGCCCTTTGGAAAGGATTATGAACAACCGTTTCCAGGATCCCTACCACGGGGACCATGACCATGAGTTTGGCTCACATCAGGAGCTTTGACTCTGGCGCATACGGACCCTTCACTGTTTGAAAAAAATGAGGCAACAGCTCCGAACACAGCAACATTGGGGGCGAGACCCATCTATTTCAACATGGTTTGAAGGAGACAAGTTGGAACAGAGGCATGGTTGCCGTAGTCATGGGGATGGCCCATGCATTTTCTACAAGCAGGGGCAGTGGATATCCCCTCAGTTTCTAAGATGGCGTCCCACCACCTCCAAATTTCTGGTTTGATGGGATACTCTTTGCTCAGGAAATAGAGCCAACATTTCCCGATAGTTGAAGTTACCCCAGAAGATGGACATGTACTTTCGGGTTGCTGGTTCGTTCCCTGTCGGCCCCGGGAAAAACTGGATCCGCCAGGTTCGGCGCCGTCTCCGCACGAAAAAATATCCTCCGCGAGAGAAAAAAGAAACCGCGGTCGGGCCCCGCCCAGATGCTCAGAGTCCACACTCTTTCTTGTCTGGTGGTCAAGTAACACGGAACCTGACACGGGGGTCCTGGAAAACCATTTTCCTTAGGGAGCCCCTGCCAGGTTCCTGTCAATTGGTGGGAGGGTAGTGGTGCTCCCACTCCAAGATTGGTGAATGCTGGTTTTCGCAGAAGGGGTGAACCTCAGACAGGCTTCGGGTCGCGGAAGGGCTGAAGGGTGGTGGAAGGGCTGAAACAAGCGCAGACTTGCCAATGGGAAGGCAGGTGAACTTGAAGTGGAAGTCCCAGCCCCCCCCACCCCAACGGCTACTTCAACGGTTAAGTGGTTAATTGTTGTAGCCTACACACAATGCCCACGTTTGTTCCATGATGGGTAAGATGTCAACCCTTGCCTAAAAAAGGAGTGTTTTTGAGAGTGCCCCTTTGTGTTTGGTGGGTTTAAAGGGAAACTGAAAGGAAAACCGCAAAAACTAGAGGTCCCCTATTTTGGCATCGACCCAAATCCAACCAGATTGCAGCGGTCTCCCTTGTCAGTTACAGAGTGTCCACCCACCCCCTTTGCATTTGATGTGTCAAAATAAATAGGGGCACCCCAAATTGAAATGATGGTTTTCTGTTTGGTTTCTTTTTGATCCCACAAAGGGAACCAACTCCAAACACCGCGCATCCATTTTGATCTTCCAGTCCCATTGGGAATTGTTTCTGACAATTTCCCCTCAGCCAGCCTAGTGTCAACGGAGTTGTCAGTTTGGGTAGGCAACAAAGATCAACCTCGGCGTTGGCCATGCATCTTACTTGGGACCCTCTCAAATGGTTGGTGGACATGAAACCTGATTGTCCGCAGGGTTTTGCAAAAAAAAAAACAAAAAACTCATACCATGCTGGTTTTTTCTCCTTACCCGAAGTGGTTCAACTGGAAGCTGGGTTCGCTCCTTGAGGTTGAAGCCCCTCTCAGGCTTGAGCTCCTCAAAACCCCAAAACTGAAGGCGTTTTCCAGCCCAAGGTCATCCCTCCACCCAGTGGCCCCTCTCTTCCATTTTCAGGCAATTGGTTGAATTTGAGGTGCCAGTATGGAGGTGACGCCCAAATTGCCGAGGACCGCTTTTTGCTGGACATCGAGATTCGAGACATCTGCTTCCGCTAGATACCCCCTCTCCACCAAGTGGACAGACGGATTCGAGAACCCTCCTGCCTTTCTTTTCCGGACTGCATCTATGGTATTTATAGATGCCCCATCCACCTCGCACCCAAAGCACAGAGCAGAAAACAAAAAGGCCAGCGCGGCCGCTTGGGCTCCGTTGCCAGGTCTCCGGGTTGAAAAAATGGGTGAGAAGCCTCATGTGAGCCAACCCTTGCAAGGCCCAATATCTGTGCCATCTAGAACCAACAGTGGTTCTTTAGATCCCAATCCTTCAGAGGCTGCAAGATGAGCGGGTGATGGCAGAAACGCAAATTTGGCCACGTGTTTTCGTTTAAGTGTCAAGGGTGCCAAGAGGGAAAGCGAACCAAGTTGGCATGTCTGACATCTTTCGCACCCTTGTTTGGACACCCATGTGCAGCATCCCCATATGGCACTCGCAAGGCTTTTGGCTATGTTTTGGGCAAGCCAAGGCCTGGGTTTGGCCTGTCTGGGTTGTTTTGAGGGAGAACCCCCCCAAAAAAAACAAAATAAATAAAAATACAAAAGAGGTGTCCCTTTGTCCCTTTGGACGAACCCAAAAAAGGTATCGGACCGGGCCTCAATGAATCAACTCCCCTTTGTCCCTTTCGGGTTGTTTTGAACATCGCCCGAATGGTCTCCTTGACTTTCCGTGGTGATGTTTCATAACAAAGTGAACAGCTTTTTGTGTGTGTTTTTCTTTTGGGGGTTAGCTGAGCCACTCTAGAAAGTTTGGACCTTTGGCCAGCCAGCTCAGCAGATCAGTTTTGCCGTAAGGACAGCCGTGTTTAGCACCATTGTGTTGGGAAAAATCAAAGTGGGCAGCATCACCGTGGGCTCCAACTCCCTCAATCCGGGCCATCGCCCGAGGCTTGTCCGCCTCTTTGGCCGCCTGAACACGACGTGCAGAGCCCGGCAAAGAGGCGAGCAGCTCAGCTAGGATCAACCTCGAAAGTCCCATCCATTCGAACCTGACCCTGTCCTTCTTCTTTCCTGGCGGCAAACAAAGGCGCTGCGGGTTGGCTTGGCTGGTTTTGCATGCCAGGATGCATCCGCAACATTTGGACCTTTTTGTTGGCCTGGCTGTAGATCGCCGG